TCCTGTCGCAGGCGCTGCCGCGGGGCATCCAGGTCGTGCCGGTCGAGATGGACGACGGCGGCATGATCGCCAACGGGCCTGGCGGGTTGGAGGAGGTGTTGGCTGGGTGGGATGAGAAGAATGGCAAGAGGCCGCATTTCATCTACACCGTGACGTGAGTTTGTTCTTCTCTCTCTCGCTTTGTCCCTTTTTGGACGAGGATCGTTGCTCTGAGAGGTAAGACAGGAAACATGGCTAACACGTGGCATGGGATGCTTCTAGAATGGGCCACAACCCGACCAGCGGTATCTTGTCTGTGGAACGCCGCAAGGAGATTTACGCCATCGCCAGCAAGTACGACATCATCATTGTCGAAGACGACCCGTACTGGTACCTGCAGTACCCCTCCGCGGTCGTTGAGGAAGCCAAGTCGCGCGGCCTGGAGGCTTCTCCCTCTCCTCCGACTTACAAGCCCACCAAGTCTTCCGGCTACCAGTTCCTGGATTCCTTGACCCCTTCATTCCTCAGCATCGACACGGACGGCAGGGTCATTCGCCTCGACACTTTCTCCAAGACTATCGCGCCGGGATGCCGCATGGGCTGGATCACGGCGCAGCCGGCCATCATTGAGCGCTTGCTGAGGTATGCACCATCTATCTATCCAACTACAACTTGTCACTCAAACACCATCGAAACTAACATGACCGTGTCTCTCCAGAATCACCGAAGTCACCACCCAGCAACCCTCAGGCTTCGTGCAATCCACCGTAGCAGAGCTCATCATGGGCGACCAGCCCCCCGCCGCCCGCTCCGCCTTCGCCGCTCTCACCTCGCGCCAGAAGCAGACCTTCGAGGGCTGGAAGATGGACGGCTGGGTCCGCTGGCTCGCCGGCCTCCGCGGCGTCTACGAGCGCCGCATGAACCGCATGTGCACCATCCTCGACGAAGGGTCCATCCAGCTCAAGCAGTCGACCCCGCGCAGCGCCGACGACGCCGACTGGGGCGTCGTGAGCAAGACGCAGCTCTACGAGTTCGCGTGGCCGCGCGGCGGCATGTTCATCTGGCTCAAGCTGCGGCTCGAGACGCACCCGCTCTGGATGGCGACGGGCGGCGAGCGGATCCCTCTGCTCGACGGGGAGAGGCTTTCGACGGCGCTCATGTTCTTTGCGACCAAGAAGCCGTACCGCGTGCTCGTGAGCCCCGGGCTCATTTTTAGTGCTACGCCGGCGATCCGGGCGGAGAGGGGGTGGGCTTACTTCCGGTTGTGTTTCGCTGCTGAGACGGAGGAGAATGTGGACTTGTGCGCGCAGAGGTTGGCGGATGCGATTCAGAGGTTCTGGAGGATCAAGAAGGTGGAAGAGGTGGAGGACTTGCTAGGAGACTTTTTTCTGGCCCAGGGGTGAAGATGAGGAAGGGCTTGAGGGGTTGGGCAACTTGGGTAGTTTGATGGGATGTTGAGGACCCCTTGGATACACCTTAGAATGACGTACATTTAACGAATCTGATGAACCAAACCATCCGCGTGGCACACGAGAGGACGTGGGTTGCAGCTCACATATGATGTACACCATGGAGTTTAGAAAACTTTTTGTAGCTACCTTACAGTCACTACGTAATAGAGAAGATACAAAAAACAAGAAAAGGTCATAATCACGTGGAATAGAGTCGTCACGGTCCAGGGGCAGACCAAAGTACACCAAGACTTTTGTTGTGTGAATTCAAGGGAATCATTTGTCCATTGATGAATTGAGGTCAACATTTCCTAGTTGCCATTACGCCTCAAGCACAAACCATGCTAAAATGTAGCCCCGTCCGTTTCAGAAACCTGCATTCCACCACTGTCGTCAGAACACCCGTCCCAGGTAAGAAATTGCTTATTTCTTCTGGGCAGCCTCCTTGGCGAATACCGAGGCGTAGGGGTTCAGGCGGAGCATGACCTGCTTGTTCTTGAGGGGGTTCTTCTTCTGGACCGCGGAGCGGCGGGTGACGGCGTAACCCTTGGGCTCGTTGAGGGCGGACTGGGTTTCCGAGCTGTTGATCAGACGGGTCAGGTCGCTCTGGGAGACGATGTTGGAGGGAAGGAGGAAGTCCTTCTTGAGGGCGGAGGGCTGGGTGGTGGTGCCGTAGATGGTGTCCAGGGACTTGAAGGCGGCAGAGGTCCAGACGACGAAGCGGCCGAGGTGGCCACCGGGGGCGAGCTGGAGGAGGTTGAGGGCGGTGACGGAGGAGGTCTCGACACCGGGGACGTTGCGGAACGCGGTGACGAGCTCCTTGCCGTCGACCTCGGGGTCGTAGATGACCAAGGGGCCGCGGCGCTGGCGGTGGCGGCGGCCACGAAGCTTGCCCTTACCGGCGCGGAGCTTCTTGGACTTCTTGACCTTCTCGACGTCGTCGGAGGCACCGACGGTCTTCAGGAGAGAGACGGCGGCGGAGGTGCGGGCGACAGCGGCGTTCTCGAAGAGAGCAGAGTCGACGACCAGGGGGACCTCAGGGACGTTGGAGACCTGGTGACCGCGGGCCTGAAGGAGGGGGGCAACGCCGGAGGCGGCGATGGCGGAAACGGTAGCGTAACGTCTGTAGATTATGCCTATTAGGAACGCTGCGCTTTTCGCTCGATCTTCACGATCCCCGCAGTGGGGGTGGTGAAGAATCTGGAGATGGAAAAAAAATCTCACCTCTGGCCCTGGGAGACCTTGACGTGCCACTTGCGCCAGGTCTTGGTAGGGGCGAACATGCGGCCGGAACGGCACATGTTACCGAAGGCGGCCTGACCGGCACGGTGAGTACCACCACCGGAGACACGGGGGATACGGGCAACAGCGCGACCTGTGGTGTTTCTGTCAGCACAATTATTCCCCTCTCAGAGTGACGTCTTCGATCAAGTCCTCTGTTTTCTCAGTCGGTCGGGTATCCTCCAATTCGTCGAGAAAGTTTTCGCTTCGGGCCCTCGGACATCCACCTCGTGGCAGGTTGTATCGAAACCCCCTTCCCAGATGTCTGTCGCGAGGTCCCGATTGCCTTTCCTTCCCCGTCGAATTTTCGGTTCCACGACTCCAGCTGAAAAATTCGAAGATCCTCCCCTCGTGACGCTCTCGCTCCGGATAGGTGTCGACTAACCAGTTCCCCAAGACTCGGCAGAGGTCTGGTGACCGGCCTTCTCGCTGACGGAGTAGGGCTGGCGCTTGTTCTTGGCCAGGCCCTTGTGAACCTCCTGGACGATATCGGGACGGATAGGGCTCAGGAAGACAGCCGGCAGGGTGTGGGTGTTGCCGGAGGACTTGCCATCCTTGCCGATGATGGTGACGGTAGGTCTCGAAGCCATTGTGTTGATCGTTGATTGACCTGTGAAAAGAGAAAAGAAGCACAAATGGTTAGTTGATGATAATGGAGGACAAGAAAAGAATTGAAATTTGCCGAGACGCCTTGCTTGAATATGGAGAATTCGGATTTTTTTCGTAGAGAATCAGGGAGCAAAGAAAATTGAGCTTACCTGGGTCAACGGTGGGCTTCAGTGGCTGCTGGTTAGTGACGGGGTTGAAGTTTGCACTTTGGCTTCGCGATCAATTTCACACGACAATGTGAGAAAAAAAATCGGTGTGGGCGGCGGAGACCCTAGGTACCCAGGTACCAAGGTACCTGTTAGCGAAGCCCGGCTCGAATCACGTGAGACACCGGGGGCACAGTGCTTCCTCAAACTGCTCTGGCACAGTAATCGCCCCACCTTTCACCTTCGCAACGGAATGCCGGAGGACGGTGTGGACGGGCGGCGGGACTCGGGTCAATGGGTCTCTCCAGATCTTTAAAGCCCGCTTTACCGCATCCTTGGAGTGCGCTGGGCACTTGACCAACTTTTATAACCTACGTTGATGCCAGTTGACCCAACAATCTCAATCTCATCATATATGAGATTAAGTTCAATGCGTCTCGGTTTGGCATTCGCAGTTGAGAATAGTTCTGGTGCATACCAGGAGGTTGATGCCAAGCACACCGCAAACACTTCGCCTCCATTTCCAGCAACGAAAGCTCTGTTTCTCGAGCGTCTGTCAGTGTTGGGCAATGTTTCGATTCGTTAGCATTCTTTGACAAGTCTGCTGCTCCAAATCTCAGGAAAATTCAATACCTACGTTTGCCCAGAACAAATACGTATCAATACAAAATTACTGACTGAAAATACCTACCTATGCCAGGTCGGAGTGAGATATTGTCAAACTGTAGTGTCATGCCCTATAGACAGGACATATTCTCCTGTACATCGCCCCCAGAACACATACAAAAGCTGTTTTCGAAACCCAGCTGCAGCTGCTAAGCTTCTGGATATAATTATTGACCAGCTCCATCTTTTCCCTTGATGTATTGTATGCATAGTGAGTGGGTTGCACACATCTAGTAGATGGTTTCTTACACATCCGTGTAAGTGCAAGCGGGTGACCGCAAATACCTCTTTGCTGACCCCCACGCTCAACCAGGCCCATGCAACGCCAAAATGAAGTTCCAGCAGAAGTATCAGTCAAAAACAAGTCCATACTGACAATTTTAGCCAAAATGCAAAAGGATTGGGCCCTAACCAGGATTCGAACCTGGGACCTCTCCCAGACGTGTCGTGATGACCCTAAGGGAGAATCATACCGCTAGACCATCAGGGCTGATGGGGTATTTGTTCTTGTTGAGTCCTGCCTCGGAATGACTAGGTATAATCTCTTTTCCAACTCCCTTCCTCTAAGCCTGCTCCAATCGGTAGTCAAGCGCCAACGGTTACTGTCTCGCACTTCGTGTGAAGTTGCATGCTGGCCGGTATGTCACAACTCGCGAATCAAGCCTTTGGAAGCCTCTCAGAACCAATGTGCACACAGCTCACGGGCAACAGGAAATAGTCCGCTATCTTTCCCACCAGTGATGAGGATGAAGAGTAGCCGGATCTGATTAGATGCAGATTGCCAAAGGCTACCCGGAATCATGCTATCAGACCCCAGACAGGGCGCAAAGATCCCTGTCAACTGCTCCAGAGATAAGGTAAAATGCTACGCGTCCAGTGTCGCAATCGAACGAACCCTTTTCCTCACAGTCGGCATCCGAGCCTATTGCTTTATACCCGAGCTGGTCTACTTTTAGACTCGACTTACCTCCCCTTGTATGTTTTTTCTCATGAATTCGTAAAACGCTGTTTACGAGACTGAGAAAGGAGTGAACTCAAACACGTCGAAATCAAGCTTCTGGGATCCCACCACTCACCTTGCATGGATTTCAAAGGTCGTTTGTAAGACTTAACGCCCCTCGGCTCTAAGCTGAGCAAACTCAAAGTCAGCTCCTCCGATAATGGCGGACCTCCGCACTGACGAAACCTCGCCGTTTCTCCAACGGCCCCCGGCAACAGCAAGATCCCACGATACTTCCCCGGCAGTGTCGGCGGCGTCGGCGTCACACAAGCTCACCCTCTTCAACGGCCTTGCAATCGTTATCAGCCTACAAATCGGCTCGGGGATCTTCAGCGTACCCTCGCAAATTAGCCAATTTGTCACTGCGCCAGGATACGGCCTTTTGGCCTGGCTTTTTGGTGGTCTTCTCGTCTGGACGGGCGCCGCCTCCTTCATCGAACTCGGGTTACGCATCCCCAATAATGGCGGCATCCAGGAATACCTGCGGGCCTGCTACGGCGAGTTTGCCGGGTTCTTGTTCACCTGGGTCTGGTGCACCATCATCAAGCCCGCGGCGAACTCAATGATTGCGACAATTTTCGCGGATTATCTGACCGAGGCCTTTGTGGCCGACCAAGAGACGCTGCCGCCTTGGGTATCAAAGGTGGTGGCGGCGAGCTGCATCGTGACCATGACACTGGTTAATTGCCTGGGTGCAACCGCGGGCGCAAAAGCGGCCAACTTGTTTCTCTTTTTAAAGATGACGGCTCTGACTATCATCATCGTCCTTGGCTGCGGCGTCTGGGCCTTTGGTCACGGAGAGGGTGTGCCCTCGTCCGAGTATGGATGGTTTGGTCAGGCTCCTGAGCAGCGAGAAATCAGTCTTTGGGAGTGGCTAGGTGATTTTGGAACCGCAACGTTTGGAGCTCTGTGGTGTTATGCCGGCTGGGAAATGGTGAGTTTGACTGCTCGTTCACTCTGACAGTGGATGGAAACTGATAACCCGGCAGGTTGGTTTTGTCTTGGGAGACATGAAAAATCCAAGGAGAGATCTGCCCCTCGTGATTAATGGCTCCATGATTGTGGTGATCATCGGCTTCATGCTGATGAACGCGGCTCTGTATGTCTGCCTACCCATGAGCGTCATGCGGACAAGCAGCACCGTCGCGGTGGTAAGCTTCACAAGCGAGCCGGATTGAGATAATTTGTAAGGCTAACCCGAGAATAGGAGTTCGCCAACAGGATCCTTGGAACTTGGGCTGGGCTTCTCTTTTGCATTATAGTGTCCATTTCGGCAATGGGTGCTTTGAACTCCAACGTGTTTGCGACCGCCAAGCTCGTCGTTGTTGCTAGTCAGAGGGGATATTTCCCTTCGATCCTGGCAAATCTGCACTGTAGCCACGAAAAAGACGAGGCTGTGTGTGTCGATGAATATCTTTCGTCTACGCCGAGACTGGTCCGAGGACCTATCAAGGGTTTCTTGTCCTGGACCCAGAACCGTCGATGGAGGAGAAACGTGCCACTGCTCCCCCTTATGTTGAACTGTGCCTTGTCAATCGTATATGTAGCTGTCGGAAGCTTCAATGGGCTTGTTACTTTTATCGGTGAGTCTCTCCGTTTGGAAAGCAATCGCACAGAATTATCAACTGACACATGTTCCAGGTTTGGCGGCGTATATGATCTTCTTCTCCTCAGCCGTTGGCCTCATACTTCTCCGTAGAAGAGACGGCCGCGTACCGGGGGCGAAAGCCGCCGAGTATAGCACTTGGCTCATCAATCCTGTCATCTTTAGCGCCATCAGTGGCCTATTGGTCGTTAGAGGAGTCATCTCAGAACCTCTGCAGGGAGGGGCTATTCTCTTGGTCGCCTTGCTCGGCATCGGCTTCTTCTCGCTCAGGTTTGGCTTGCGCGGCTTCACCTACCCAGAGACCAGATGAGGCTCGCCCAGCCATCCATATTTCCGTTGTGATCGTGCGGCAGCTGCATTGCTCCCCCGGCCGGAGCAGTCATACACGGCTGGCCTGTCCGCCCCGAAGCTTGGACTGTCCTCTCAAGCACGCTCTCTAGTCAGACCTGAGTCTTCGAAGTCTGTGACCCGGTAAAGGCTTGCCGAAGCTGCTATTGCGGAACAGACTCGCAGAATGGAACAGCACACCTCCCGCTGGCTGTGAATTCGGCCTACTTCCCCACAGCTGGCCAAGTCGCAGTCGAGTGTCAGCGGTTAATCGACAGGCGTTAGGCACGTTGGATACCGGAGGCGGAGAGGTCTGTGGAACTTTGGGCAGTAGCACGGTCCGTGTCGGGCCTGGATGCCTCCTTATTCCCAGTCAAGTGGAAGGCGTGGTGAAACTGTACCAATTTGATGCTATTCAAAGACGTCAGGGGATGGCCGCCGTGGCCCCAAAGATAGGCTTGTGGACACGCTAGACGATGCAAAATGCACGGTGTCTGAAGAGCTTGGATGACCGCAACCAGGGGCCACCGCAGTTAGCTTCGGCACAATTGACTTGAGATCTTTAAGTGATTGGCAATGTCAAAGTCGCCCAAGATTTGAACTTTTGATCATGTTGAACGGAAACCGTCGTTGTGGCGTGAGAAGCGTTGCACTGAAATCCCACCGCTCTTTCTCAATGCAGATCATCGGAGTTGAAGGGTGTCGGTGGTAGTCTGAATGACGAGCTGGCGTAGATAGCTGCAGCTCTAAGACGTCGGAGACTTTGGGTATTCTAGAAAGCGCAGACTTTTGCTATCCAACAATTGCGGCAGCTAGCCGTGTGCATGACCCCGTTATGGGATGGAGGGGGGAGAGAAGAGGCGAGTCTCGCAGCCTGGAGGAGGTGTGGGGGTGGGTAGGTAGGACGACGTCTGACATGGCCACAGCACCTCTGCTAACTTTTCAGCAAAAAGATACGTAAGGTGACCTTGGATGTTGCATTTTCTCTGTCATAGATTAGTGCCAGAAACGAAAGATAAAGGGCAATGCGTTTCACTTCACACTATTGTTTCCGCGAAACTACGTAGTATACGGCAACGGGCGGATAGGGTCGATGCCCGTCTTATTACCAAGATACGAACTCAACGCCGTCCGGGGGAACGGGAAGTGTTGCTTGATGTCTGAATTTCGTCACATCGTAGAACGGGCAGTCGGCATTCGTTGACCAGAGGAGCGGGCCTTGGGAATTGACCGTGGTGCCAGGCATGGAATCCAACGTAGACTAAGCCTCGCTCCTCACCTTCACGGCGACTAGTCGGCCGTTAACTGACCTCACCAAGAGTACACGGCAACGCCGCGTGGCGCATGCTGCTGTCGCTCTGGGCCAATGACAGATGGACCGTTGGAGTCTCGTTTGGAGAACCCTCGTAACCGTATGCTTAGTTTGCCCTAGTCATCGGATGTTCTTTCTTGATCGACCACAACCAACGAATTACAACCAATTTGTCTTCATGTTGAGTGCCTATCTGTAGACGGGCATTGTAACCTCAAAGGTGTGCAAAGATCAGGGTCGGGCCCCGTCAGGGCAAATCCGTGCAACCGTGGAAAGGGTTGAAATGCAGGCAGGGACGGCAGGCTGTCGTGGTACCGTGCCAGGCCTCATCGCAGGTGGACGGTCGAATCGACAGCGTCAGTTGCCCTAAACAGGTTCCCAGCATATGCAAGAAGGTATCAAGCTAGGTAGGCCGGAGGTGAGAACCGGGTGGAAAGTGGATACTGGTCGATGCCGATGCACTTTGGCCTTGGGCCGTCCGCACGCTCGAACGTTTCTTAGGCTTTGACCTTGGACGTTGGGAGGGGGGCTAAAGGGCTCCATCTGCAAGATGCGCCATGGGCATGGCCATCTTGCCATCATTCGTATGCAGGTCGGGGAGGGCGAGTAGCAAGGGCGAAAGAAAGTGTGGAAATGGTGCATCTCGGATCGAGTCATCGCCACCATCCATTCCGAAGAATTGAGTAATGCTTTGTGTCTTTTCGTTGTATTTCTGTATTGCTGAACAGATACTCAGTGCGACAGAGCATTCGTAAACAGAAGAGAGGAGGTGTGCGTAGGTAGGTAGGTCAACAACACGTAGGCTGCATGGCTGCAGGTGGAGAGGGAAACCTGGCGAGGTTTGTTTGTTGTTGGAAGTTGGAAAACGGCAATGCAATGCAATGGCACTGGTGGTCTCCCACAGACGGAGAGAGAGAGAGAGAGAGAGCCAGTCGGTTGACCGAACCAGACGGGGAGGAATATGTGAGGCTGGGAGGCTATAGTTCGGTCGTCGGGGCCCAGAGCGGCAGGTTTTGTTGTGACAAGCTGCGAGGAGGATCTTCCCGTGCCCTCGAAACTCTGAATCCAACATCAGAGAGTTGCGTCTTGGGAACGGTGTCACCTCGGTGACCGCAGGGCACTGACTGTGAAGCTGTGTTCCTGCCCTGAATGGCGACGGCGGAGGGCACCGAACAGGCAATCCTGGAAAGAGCCATCGAACGCCCGGGGCAGCTGGAGCACTGCGCTGGCTGGCTAGATGACAAGACCAGGAAGGCCCTTCCTACGTGCCTGCTTTCCGGCTGAGGTGTCTTGGTATCTTCTCCCAGGTTCGTACGGAGTAACATCCAATGTATCTTGTATCTGTATCCGTACGGAGTAAGGTTCCTTAGATGGAATGGACGGCAGGGCGGGAAAGAAAGAGAGCCCAGCCCAGCCCGGGATAAACACACGCGTGCACAGCAGGAGCCAGCACCACAGCACCACCACAGCAGCCCGTCGGGTGGGGATACAAATTACCTCTAGTCTGCACACCTGCGCCGCACCCCGTCATCATGGAGGGGCACCAAAACGACAACACTTTCCCACCCTCAGTATTCCCTCCCCCCTCCTCATCATCCACACCCCCCTGTCGCCCATGTTCAAATAAGGACTTGCACCTACGCCGCATCTTCAACGCTTCCCACATCCCACCTTCCCCCTCCCCGCCTGACACCAAACAAGACGCCTTCTTGAATTTAGCCCGTCTATCCATTCCCAGCCGTTTTTGGGGGAATTCGTCGTGGTAGCAATCTTCCGCACCTCTTAGCTTTCCTTCAATCTCAATACCGACAACTACAACTCCCCCACCGCCCGGCCAGTCGGAACGCTTCACGACTCTTACGTCCTTGTCCAGGTCTGCCTTCGTGTGCGCTGACGCGACACCGCTACTTATATCTCGATCCGTACATATCTTGCCTTGGACAAGCAACACCACCGCCTGCCACAATTACCAATATTCAGTGCGACCAAGGCCAGAAAACACACCTCAGCGGAAGAAACGAAACGTTGCGCAAGGCTGCGACAACCGCCTGAGAGACCGGGGTCGTTCGCTCCCGTCCTCGTCAGCTGCAGAGACACACGATGCCTTCAAAGTCCCGACAATCTGTCTGAGTTTTCGTTCCCATCTGGCACCCCAACTCTCCGAATATGAGCGAATCACGCAACATAGAAGATCTTTTACAGACGGGCTTCTTCACAACCTCTAGGGCCAAAACTCCCAAGCAGTAAGCCCATCTGCCCCTACATCTCTGCTGTATATCATGTCTTACCCAAGTCGCAGACCTAGCACGGATGCTCCGGCCGTTCCTCCTCATGTCTCCAGCATCTCCAATATTACCCGACCGGCCTCCAACCCGGATCCGCTAGTACCCAGGTCCTTCGACCCGCCATTGAGGCTCACCCGTCGCAAACACTTTCCGCCCCCGCCAACAGTCGAAGATGAGACCGAAGCGCTCCAAAAAGAGCACGGCAGCGCCGCCTCTTTTGTGAGCGACACCGAGCCTCCATCGCGAGGTGATGCCGATCAATACCCCATCATAATGGAGGTACACGAACACAATCCCGAACGCCGATTCGTCCTAGTACCAAAGTCTACGAGCGGGACAGAAGATGAAGATTCGTCAGACGACGCCAAAGCACGCGCTGCCGAACGCTCGCGTCATGCTAAGCCTGAGACCAAGGACGACTACGGAGCAAACTACGAAGCGAACACTGGCAGAAAATACCGGGCTCCCCCAGTCGAGGGTCTGAATCAACACAAGCGACCAGATCTCGAAAAGAAAAAGAGCAGACAAGAGCTTCCGCGCATTGAGACTGATGTTAAAGACGAGGAGATCCGACCTCGTAAACATGAGCGGACAAAATCTGCGACTCGTGTGGAGCAACAATCTACCGATTACTTCTCACCAAAGGACGACAAGAGACAGCCCAAGGAGCCTCTTCTCTCACCACAGGTGATCAAGCATGCAACAGGTGGGCGCGAGAAAGTGTACTACGACTATTCGCAGTCTGGTCGGAATGGTGCACCGCGGCCCCAGAGAAGCCGTTCGAATCTAGCCGAAGATAGCAGAAGGTTCGACGACAACTACACACGGCAAAACGCATCATCGAACCCGCCGCCAACGCGTCGTTCCAACACTAATATTGACTCTCCTCCAAAGGAATCAAGAGTTGCGTCCGGCGACAGGTTGAACGAGTCTCCTCGTTACCAACGAGAACGGGTGGTGCCGCGTGGTGAACGGCCACAGAAGAAGGATCCTTCGCCGCCGTATGATCGTTTGGACCGCGACCGCGAGCGTGAACGTGAGCGTGAGCGTGAGCGTGAGCGCGATGGTGGCTCGAAGAGGACATCGAATTCCAAGCGCGATACTCCACGACGCAGAGACGACAGTGGCTCCAGCAGCAGCGATTACGCGCAAACTCCACGAACAGCCAATATTCGGCGGAGAAAGTCGATTGTAGAACAAGAAGATAAGGACATTTTGCTGAGCCCTGCTCAGCTGAAGCCATCTCAGTCGGCAAGGTCAAGATCGAGGCCTCCCCCGGCAGAAGTTGTGATGCCATCTCCACGAGTCTCCACAAAGTCGTTTGCCGACGACATTCCGCCTCCTCCTCCGCCTCGATCCTCACAAACATTCCCGGTAACAAGGGAACCCAGGGATAATGGGGATATCAAGGAGAAGTCTGTTCCATACCCTGATGACGACCTGTTGCCTAGAGTAAGCCGCCTCAGTGTCCGCGATCCCGAGTCGCGTCCTTCAAGAGCGCGTTCAAGGTCTCGGGCATCTACCTTCAACAACCCAGTGATAGTGCCAGCGGTCATGCCTGCCATGCCTGCTCCTGCTGGACCACGGAGCCCTACAGAAAAAAGACGATCGCCCGAGAGGAGGGCCAATCTAAGTCAAACAATTCCGCCAATGGAAGCGTGGCCACCAGCCAAATTTGACCCGGCCAAGGGCGCACCAGTCGTTGACGGATCAAGGGGTAGCTACCGACGGTATTCGCACGATGCAGACCGCGGCGGCGTATCTGACTTCCCCGATTGCCCCCGGAAGAAGGGCATCGTAGGCAAGGCTGATTGGCTTAGTCTGCCAAGGTGCGACAACTTCAACATCTGTCCAGACTGCTACAACGGAGTGTTCCTCAACACCGAGTTCCGCAATGACTTTATGCCCATGTTGTTCCGGCCGATGGACAAGCCAATTGCCTGCGATTTCGGCTCTATTGGGTGGTATCACATTGCGTGGCTGTTGACGTTGAAGAATCGTTTGACGGACTTGCGCCTATTCTACCAGGTCGCCAATGTCACCAGCAAGGCGACTAGCAGTATTCAGCCCTGTTCGGGAGACCGTCGGAATACCCGCGTTTGGTACTCGATCAAGAATCCGTATACGCAGATGACGATGCCAGACTTCACCGTCTGTTACGAATGTGCCAAAACCATCGAGGCACTACTTCCCAACCTGATAGGCCTGTTCGTCACGCTCCACCCCACGGCGCAGCCAACGAGGAGCGTGTGCTCGATGCACTTTAATCCCGATCGAAAGCGTTTCGTGATGTATTTCGATGCGCTCGAGACGACCTCAGATCTCGCTCTCGCAACAACACAAGCGCCCAACATCGCGAAGCTTGTGACAGACATCGAAAACCTTTCCGTGTTTGCAGAGTGCTCAAAGGACAACCCAGTCTATGATCAAAACTGGCACGTCATGCAGTTCCTTCCCCAGTTCACCGTCTGCGGTGACTGTTTCGACGAGGTGGTGGCGCCTCAACTGAGAGACGGCAACGTCATTGCGAGGAACTTTTATGTGAAGCCACAGCGCTTAGAAGAGGCGTCGTGTCAGCTGTATTCTATCAGGATGAGGGCTGTCTTCGACAAAGCATGCCGTCGTAACGAGCCGAAGTATCTCGAGACCAAGGTGATTGAGCGGCAAAAGATGTTTACGGAGACGTACAAGAGGATGGCGAAACTAGAGCAGGAGAGGACGCAATGGGCGCGAGAGGAGAGCAAGAAGCTACTCGAGGAATGGGAAAAATGGGAATGATGAATGCGTATGAATGAAATGAACATGAGAAACGGACGAGCATGTGGTTGGAATCAGTTTATACCACGGCCCATAATGTCATAGAGCCTCTAGGAGACTTATGAGTACATGGAGAAAATAATCGTCTGTACGAAATTGGAACTGCCACTGTGGATAGTGGAAGCCCTGCCATGATGCGTTGATATGGCGTACCCTTCTCCCCTAGCTTCGGGCTAGATGTCTTCGGTTACAAAGCTTGCCTCTGTATTGCAGTGATAAATTTACATTATTCAAATAGGAGATTAATTAAGGTTGCAAAGATGTAGTCACTCCTGCACGTGAGACAAGATGTATAGGCTAAGCCTGTTAATTTTGCTGAAGGCATTAGTACTGGGTGATCAACCTTTGGGATGGTTTGTAGACCATTCGGCTCAGTATTCGATCACTCAAGAACATCGCAGGCTAAAGTGGGCTGGACTTCACACCCAGATGTGACGGTGAATTGACATGCGTTGCTATACGACCGTTCCGTCCATCAAGGTCCCGGAACCACAGAAGCAAGACGACCGGTCCAACGGCTTCCCGAAACGGGAGGACTTGCAGATCGGTGGCTGCTACGACTCTGCGGCGTCATTTTACGACTCTATGCTGACGGTTGACAGCTGTCGGCCTCCGCGTGTAGATGGTGCAGTGCTTTCTTTTGCTCGAGGCTCCGAGTCGCAGCTCCAGCGACATGTTGGTATACCTGCTTCCATGACACGATGTGGCATTTTGATGGCAATGCACGAAACAGATAAGTTCTACTTGTCCACGAAGAAACAGTAATACTTCGTAGACGAGGAGTGATTCAAGTGGTCCATGCGTCTTTCGGAGTAAAAGTTCGATCTCGTACCTCGGGATCCGCGGTCCATGTGCTCAACAGTCGTTTTGAGTCTTGATTGACCTCGCCTCGGTCGATCAAAGGTAGAGATGGCCAACTAGCGTGATGAGGGGCGCGGCACTATTTGAGATATTTGTCTCTTCTCCCTTTACGAACCTTGAATGGTAATGCATTGCGAGAAAGGGAAACCCGGCATTTGTGGCGCAGAACATCTTTTGGGGGGTTTTCTGGTAGAGTCACAAGCCATGAACCATCCCAACATTGAATTTGGCAGGCGAGAACGAAAATAGTCATGCAGCAGTTCCTCGTTAACGACGAGTGGGAGAACGATGCGAGAGGGGGTGGGTGTGACGCACAGGCCTGGTTCCCTCGGGGGTGTGGTTCAGATAATCCTGGGCGTTGCTTGCATGCGTGACAGCCAACTTTGCCGAACGTCAAAATGGATCTCAACCTTGGAATTACAACATTGCACACAGAGAGAGTACTGCAGCAAGCAACATCGGATTCCCGTCTGCACGACTGCAGCAAGTCCAGTTTGCATGCAGCTATGCGTCGTCCAGTGTATTCGGGCTCCCTCTCATACAGGAGAACCAACCTGCATCTGCTAAAAGGTCGGATCATTACCCACAGAACTTCCAAGTTTAGAGTGATGGGCCGTCTGTTCTCCAGTTCTCCAACATGAATTCTGTATCGCGAACTCCTCGTCATGGAGGCCCCAAACTCAGGGAAATCATTTTTGCTCAACCCGCCGCAAAAGCTGCAAACCAAATAACCGTTCCACCAAGGAGATCCAGATCTTCCAGAGGCTTGGCAACACAAGTCTAAAATGTTTACTCGTCTCTTTTGGCTTCCGGTTACACGTCTGTGGTCGCAAGGGGGTTCCGCGGCCAATCTTGAGACGGAGAGGCTGCCAAGTTCGAACCGCAACGGTTTCATCTCTCCCCGTACCCGAACGCACAGCCTCGCTCGCCTCGCTTCTTGCCCACAACTCTACAGTCCCTTGTCTCTTATCGTCGCTGTCTATCCGTACCTTAGTGAAAAAAAGGGGTGGGAGAGTTCATGGCGGTGCGACACGATGACAAGGGCGCCTGGGGTTCGGAAACGTCGTGTACGGGGGTTGACGCAGCAGAAAATCGGTCACGACGTTGAATGTTCGACGAAGTCGTCCAAACTCAGTCATGGGGGTCGAATGTCCCCTCCTTTCCCTCCAGTCTGTCTCTCTTGTTGTTCTCCTTCACGTCATTCCGGTCTCTTCCTCTTTCCCCCCTCAACCCTTACCCTTCCTGTGCTCCATCTCGGCTTCATTGACTATTGTCTCTGAAGCATTCCTTTCTTTTTCGTCAACGCGAGACCGTTGCGAAGACTTGTTTACAAGTCTATTCCATTCTTTACTCCTGGTCGAGTGCTCTCTTCGTGTCCGGTTGTTTCAGGCTTCTCTTGTTTAATTCTTCCCTTCGCAGTCCAGGAGACATCTTGAGTAAACGAGTTCTGTTGGTGATTTATTTTTATGTTGTTCTTTATCCAATTATAGCCAACTGAACCAACTATCTATCTGGCACAGTAACATCGAAAGAGCCAAGACGAAAGGCAATAAACGTTGACCACGAAGGAGCTGCGGCCTCGGTCTGATATCCCATAACGGATCGCAATCTTTACTTCGACGACGACAACTTGCAACTCAACGACAATCATGCGGGGGTTCTTGAAGGTTGCTGGCGCAGCATGCCTGCTGGGCCAGCTCGCGGACGCGGCTGTCAAGATCAACTTTGACCAAGACCAGTCCATCAAGGATGGTGCGAGCACAATAGCCTTCGGCTTGTTGAAATTCTACACAGGAAACAACACTGGCGACACACCGGGCAACTTGCCAGATCCGTACTTTTGTGAGTAATTTCGCCGAGGGGTTTCCATATTCGATGTATTCTAATAAAGCATCAGGGTGGGAGGCTGGAGCGATGTTTGGCACAATGGTGGATTACTGGCGCCTGACGGGAGACGATACATACAACGCAGTAACAACACAAGCGCTACTTCATCAGGCAGGCGATGACGCCGACTTCATGCCGAGAAACCAGACGAGGACGGAAGGAAATGACGACCAGGGATTCTGGGCTATGGCGGCAATGAGCGCGGCGGAGAACAACTTCCCGAACCCTCCATCAGACAAGCCTCAATGGTTGGCGCTGGCTCAGGCTACCTTCAACCAGTATGTCAGCCGCTGGGACACGGCGACGTGTGGCGGTGGGTTACGGTGGCAGATCTTCACGTTCAACAACGGTTTCAACTACAAGAACTCGATTTCAAACGGATGCTTTTTCAACATTGCAGCTCGACTGGCGCGATTCACCGGCAACCAGACGTACGCGGACTGGGCGGAGAAGATTTGGGATTGGGAGACGAGCGTCGGCCTGATCACGCCCGAGTTCAAGATTTACGATGGCGCCACGGTCGACAACGGGATGAACTGCAAGGATATCGACACGATCCAGTGGTCATACAACGCGGGCATCTTCCTGCACGGTGCCGCGACGATGTACAACTTGACCCAGGACAAGAAGTGGTTAACGCGAACCGAGGGCGTGCTGACCGAGGCGACGACGTTGTTCTTCAACCAGACCGCCATGTTCGAGCAGGCCTGCGAGGCATTCAAGCTGTGCGACCAGGACCAGCAGAGTTTCAAGGGGTACTTCACGAGGTGGATGGCCGGAACGGCGCAGGTGGTGCCCTCTCTGTTTGACAAGATTATGGGTCTTCTCAGACCCAGCGCCGAACTCGCCATTGCCGCTTGCAACGGTTCGCCGGCTACGGGCTACAAGGGCCAACCGGGTACGGCGTGCGGATTTCAATGGGTGCCCAAAGGCCAGTTCGACGGCCTGGTCGGCGTGGGCGCGCAGATGAACGCGCTCGACGCCGCCATGTACATGCTTGTGAAGAAGGCGGACACCAAGACGGCGCCGGTGACGGCCGACACGGGCGGCACGTCCGTGGGCAACGCCAACGCCGGCATGAGCTCGCAGCCCAAGATCCCTACGTTACCGCCGATCGAGACCAAGGATAAGGTTGCTGCCGGATTCGCTACGACGGCCATCACTTTGAGCATCGTGGCCGGGTGCTTTTTCATCATGAAATGAGAAAGGGCATAACCGTTCCTTTGGCAGCATTTATTCAGTACTGGGGTTCTCGTTCGAACATTTAATTCGGTAACGGCATGGGATGAGGCGTTTTTGGGGGGAAAGACTAGCTTTGATAGCAGTCTGATGTGATATACTGGCATTGGTATGTGGGCGGCAACGAGTGTACAGACCTAAACAGAAGAGGGTTCGGGTTTACGATATACCCTACACATACATTTACACATACACACTCTATTTTCATGATGCCAATTTGTTCTCCGATGCTCCGTCGCCTACACCTTCCCTCATCCTCATTTCTAGTATCGAGAGCTTGCGCAAGCGGTCACTACTTTACCTCTCAATAGCTGTGTCAGCAACAAGATGAAGAAAAGGCGCTTGCAGTGTATGAAAAAAGAAAAGCCAATTCAGGTAAGCTTCCCACGGCAACAGTTGCTGTCGTGAACCGGTTCAAATTTTACTCCCCTCATTTTCTTTTTTAGCGTTGCGGGAGGTAAAAATCTCCCAATTCGTACGGTGCAGAAGAACATCGACGAGACCCCGGGCGCTTGCGCTTGCCGGATGAGGTGACGTTCCCACCCCCGCGGGCCCCGCATAAGGTACATACCACCCGACCCCGCGGCGCGGAAGCTGTTGGGAGGAGGAGAAGAAGGACCAATTGAGGACCTAAAAGAAGTTATTGGAGAGAGGTGAAGTTTGGGTGGGACGTCATGGTCGTCCAATTGCTCGGTCCCTTGGGGCCGACTTACATATAGTAGACTCGGGTTGTTCCCCCGTTTACCTTGTGAATGAGAAGGATGCTCTCTCGCTCTCTCCTCATCTCTCCTCAACTACTGCCGTCCCCTCATATCTAGTATCGAGGATAATCTTGGATTACTTGCCTATCTCTCAATTTCAAAAGCACCACTATAAGAGGTGACGTTGTCCAAGCTGAAGAAAGCTTCACCTTTTCTGGGCATCACACCACAATACATCTCACCCTATCACCAGGCAAAACATATCCGAAGCAAACCCCCTTCAAAATGTCAGCCAAACACTTCATCAACGACCCAACCAAGCTGGTCAACCAGGCCCTCCACAGCCTGACCCTCACAAACCCAAGCCTGGCCCTCGACAAGCCCAACAAGATCATCTACCGCAGACCGACACCCGATGCCGCCAACAAGAAGACCGTCTCCGTCGTCTCGGGCGGCGGCTCGGGCCACGAGCCCTCCTTCGCAGCCATGGTCGGCCAGGGTCTCCTCTCCGCCGCCGTGGCGGGCACCATCTTCGCCAGCCCGAGCGCGGAGCAGGTCCGGACGGCCGTCGCCTCGCGCGTCGACACCAGCGCCGGCGTCCTCGTCACCGTCATGAACTACACGGGCGACGTGCTCAACTTTGGCATGGCTGTCGAAAAGGCCCGCGCCAGCGGTCTCGAGGTCGAGATGGTTGTCGTCGGCGACGACGTCGGCGTCGGGCGGGCCAAGGCGGGCAAGGTCGGACGGAGGGGCATCGCGGGCACGGTGCTCGTGCACAAGATTGCCGGCGCGCTCGCGGCGCAGGGGAGGCCGCTGGCCGAGGTCGCAAAGGTCGCGCGCTTGACGGCCGAGAACCTGGTCAGCGTCGGCGCGAGCCTGGAGCACGTTCACGTTCCCGGGCGCGCGGTGCCCAGCGGCGAGGAGGAGGGCGCGCTGCAGCTCGGCGAGGCGGAGCTGGGGATGGGAATCCACAACGAGCCCGGTTCCGGCCGGGAGAGCGCGGATCTGGAAGGGTTGGTGGGCAAGATGCTCACGCAGCTGCTGGATCAGAGCGACAAGGACAGGGCGTTTCTGAACGTCAACTCGAACGAGGTCGTGCTGCTGGTCAACAACCTCGGTGGCGTGAGCGCGCTCGAGCTCGGGGGCATCACGGCCGAGGTCGCGGCGCAGCTCGAGGGCAGCTACGGGATCCAGCCCGTGAGGATCCTGAGCGGGACGTACATGACGAGCCTCAACGGCCTGGGTTTTAGTATTTCGCTGCTCAACGTCGTCAACACGGATATCGGCGGCCCGAGCATGATCCAGCTGCTCGATTACCCGACCGAGGCCACGGGCTGGTCGTCGCCCATCCTCAAGGAGACGTGGGAGGCCAAGAACCAGGCCACGCGGGAGGAGGCGGCGGACGCCGGGCAGGCGACGAAGCCTAGCGATCTCAAGTACGATGCTGCTGCGGCCACCAAGGCTATCACGGGTGGCTTGCAGAGGGTTATTGCGGCCGAGCCCGAGGTGACTAGGTACGATACCGTCGTCGGTGACGGCGACTGCGGTATTGGTCTGAAGAGAGGAGCTGAAGGTAAGAGACAATATCCCTCGTCCAGTCTAGATGTAACACCATGCATACACAGTCCGCTAACACGCTTCACCATCACCAGCAATCCTCAAGCACATCTCCCAGAACCCCCTAACAGGCGACGCCGTCGTCGACCTCGCCTCCGTGGTCCCCGTCGTCGAGAACACAATGGACGGCACCTCGGGCGCCCTCTACGCAATCTTCCTCAACGCCCTCACCGCCGCCCTCCGCAGCCTGTCCCCCGGGTCCGCCGACGCAAAGACCTGGGCCGCGGCCCTGAAGCAGAGCAGCGACGCCATGTCGCGGTACACGCCCGCACGACCCGGCGACCGCACCCTCGTCGACGCGCTGTACCCCTTTGTCGAGGTCCTCGGCGAGTCGGGCGACGTCAAGAAGGCGGCCGAGGCGGCGCGCGCGGGCGCGGAGACGACAAAGGGCATGAAGGCCAGCCTGGGGCGGACGGTGTACGTCGGCGGCTCCGGGTTCGAGCAGGTGCCCGACCCCGGCGCGTGGGGGTTGAGCTGCTTCTTTAGCGGGTTGGCGGGCCTTGAGGGCGAGGATGGGTGGGAGAAGCTGTAGAGATGGATTCCCGAGTCCGCAGTTTTCAAAAGGGTTTTCTTATGTGTAGGGCAGATCGCGCCTGTTTTAGTAGTAATTTTCCTTGATGCGTGAATCGGGTAATAGGGGGGGGTGTCCTGTGGTTGCACAAAGCTTGGAAAATCGGCAGAATGCTCGAAGAGTCAGGGAGGAAATGAAAAGAACCCAGTTGATCCATTTTGTCTTCAACGCCTATCTCATCCCATTTTGAAACAATAAAACCACTTTACCGTGGGTATTTATGCGAAACTTGTTTCCCTCCCAAGTTTTTGGTTCGTCCGCTGCTCTTCTCCCCCGCCTCTCTTTCTTACTCATACGATAGGGACAGGGTACAGTGAGCATGCGCCGAGTCGCCTCGGAACCAAGCGCACCTCACTCACGGTCCCAGTTCTCCAGTTCATTTGCTGAGGCATATTCTTCGTATGGCTGAATAGTGCAGTCCCTTTGTTCTCCCCGTTTTCTCGGTTTCAACGTTCTTGTGTATGGCCCAGATGATTATCGTAGGGGGCCGCATAACAAGACCAACACGCTCAACTCCTTCTCATCCGCGATCGTTGGATTCCTTCAGCTCAAGAGGACCAGGATGACGCTATCACCACGGAGAAACCTGTGCAAATGTTAGCCTCCAATTGTGGGGGTATTAGGCGCACGGTTGGCGTAGACTGACATCTTGCTGATGAAGCGGTCCTTGTTCACGGGACGACCCTTCTTGCCGTTGGCCAGGCGTGGCGTCTCTGTCCACATTTCCTATAGAATACCAACGTCAGCTTCGCTCTTTGTGATTACCGGCGACGAGCAAGAGTAAGAAGTTGTCGCACCTTGACGTTCTCCAGAACCATGTTGCAGTGTCTGTCAAAGGCCTTGACGCGCGCAAGGAGCTTTCGGTTGTTTCTGATGGAGATGAGGACCTGGGTGTGGCTGCGGACCGCCGTCTGGAGGATGGAAAGGGGTCCGGCGCTGAATTCGTGCTCTTCGAGCTGTGCGATTTCGTACTCGGTCAACTCGTTGCGCGACTTGGTGAGAAGCTCCCTGTTGGTTTACGTGTTAGCACAATGGATAAATATCCATACAGGGGATAAGGACGGGTACGAACTGGATCTTGGGATCGGTCGACATGATGGGCGGCAGGCTGGTGGAGATAGGCGTGGAGGATGTTGATGTGGTGTGTATCGCGACAACGTCTTTGAATGCTGGGCCAAGGAACACACAGCAAGGCTGAAAGAGTTTGGCAGTCTCGCGGCTCACCGTGATGGCGCACAGATGCTCTGATTGGCCAATAGCTTCAGTGAGGTCGGCGCTGGAAAAAGTGTCCCCGTCCAGAAATTACAGGCGAAAGCTGCACTGGAAAGCTTGCAGCGATACGCAAGGTTTAGTGGGGGTTTCCTGCCGGGCGCACCTTGGTCAGTGCGCACCTCAAACTGGCAGTTCCTAATTGCCTTACCGGACAGACCCATGGTTATTCTCGGCCTCGAATTTGACGTGGAGAAGAGCTTTGGAAAACCATTCCCGCGACATCACCTACATCGAAGCTTCTTTACCACCCCTCCCTCCCCCTCCCCGTCCGGCCCGTCTACCACACGCCTACTATCCGTCAGTCGATGCATCGCTTGTCCTAGACGAGCGCATTGGCAGTTGGTAGCAGACAAATGTTCTCGAGAGCGATCGCACTTAGAGCCAGGCCGGCAGCGTTAGCTGTTCCTTGCCGGAGCTGCAGCAGAAGCTTCGGTATGCCTCTCAGAGCCAAGATCATCGGCGCGGAGGCCTCATCACGCGCACAAGTGAGTCCTTCTATCTGTCTTACTGACGGTATGGTCGACGACGTTAACTAACAATCCACTCCAACAGATGTCGACGCAAATTCCGAAAGGGTTTGTGCAGAAGGCCAAGGACGACCCTGACGATGTCATGTTCAACAGCAGTTACGGTCTGAGGACCATTGAGCTCAACCGCCCGAAGAAACTCAACTCCCTGGACGGAAGCATGATCCGAAAAATTCTGCCGAGATTGGTCGAGTGGGAAAAGTCGGACCTGGCGAACGTGGTGGTCATGAAGGGATCAGGCGAAAAGGCCTTCTGCGCCGGCGGAGACGTCGCCGCACTCGCAAAGTGGAATAAGTTTGAGGACGGATGGAAGCGGAGCGCAAAATACTTCGAGCTCGAGTACAAGCTGGACCACTACATCGCGACGTATCAGAAGCCCTATGTTGCCTTCATGGACGGTATCACCATGGGTGGCGGTGTCGGTCTGAGCATTCACGCGCCGTTCCGCGTCGCCACTGAGCGCACCATCTTCGCCATGCCCGAGACGACGATTGGTTTCTTCCCCGACGTTGGCGCCTCATTCTTCCTGCCCCGGATGGCCGGCTCCATTGGCACGTACCTCGCCCTGACGAGCGAGAGACTCCAGGGCGCCAATGTCTTCTATTCTGGTGTCGCCACCCACTATCTCCACTCGACCTCTTTGCCCCAGGTAGAGGCCCGTCTTGCCGAGATTCGATTCCGCGACCACGACTCACTGGAGAAGCGCCTCCAAATCGTCAACCAAACTCTCGAGGAGTATGCCACCGGTCTCCCCCACAACGAGCCCATCCTTCTCGGCGGCGACCTGCGCAAGGCTATCGACCGCTGCTTCAGCCAGAGCAACATCGGTGCCATCATCAAGGCCCTTAAGGCTGAGAAGGGTTCGACGAAGCAGTGGGCCGCGAAGACGATCGAGACGCTGCACAAGCGGTCGCCTACGGCCGTCAACGTTGCGCTGAGGCAAATGCGCATCGGCAGCACTTGGTCAATCGCCGAGACTTTCAAGCGCGAGCACAAGATTGCAGAGAAGTTCATGCAGCAGGGCGAGTTCACCGAGGGTGTGACTGCGTTGTTGATTGAGAAGAGAGCCCCGGTGTGGAAGCCTGCTACTCTGGAGGAGATCAAGCCTGAGATGAACGTCACTGAGCCCTTCTTCGAGTCCAGCGGAGAAGACCTTGAGCTGCTGAACGACCGGGACTACAAGGAGTACCCGTACACATACTTTGCTCTGCCGACCGAGGCCGATGTACGAAAGGTCGTGCTTGAGGGCCAGCACACGCCCGAGGAGGTCGTGAAGAAGCTCGCCGCCTCGAAGAACAACCGACAGGGTGTCGAGGCGGTAGTCAAGGAGATTGTGGACCGTAAGGTCGTTGCGAACAAGGAGGGTCGCGCGGTCTGGCCCGAGGAAAACCAATAGATGGTGTTGGGATATGTCACCGGGATAATTCCCAGGTGTGTATGATACTGTAGATGCTTTTGCCATGTATCTGAATAAATTTCACGGATTGTGTTGTGATTCATTATTGACATTTGATAGACGACATGGCTGCGTTTGTTGTGAAAGTGGAGATCGTGAACTGCGTTGATTAAAAGCTTCATCAAATGGTCGTAGTTGAGCCTGATTGGCCCAACAAGTTTAGCATTTAAAATGCTTGAACCTCGGTGGATTGGAACTGGCACAGAAAAGTTGGGGTAGCGATGGCTTCGTGCTGATAGGCGGGTCTGGTATTGTTGCCTGCACGGCTGTGGTGGTTGCTTCGAAATTATCGGAGATAAGATGAACCAACTATTCCGTCATACAAGTAAAGTAAGGCAAGTTTCCAGGCCTTACTTTCCATGACAAACCACTGGCCGTGAAGAGCGATGACTGTGGCGGATGGGCTTCAATAGCTTCGCTGTAATAGGTAAATGGCTACTGGTTGCCGGATGAGAACGTGGAGTCACGGATGCAAACACCATGGTAGCGCTGAGAACCTCTACACTAAGGCGAGATGAGGTGGATGAGTCGGGAGTTGGAGGGGGGAATGAATGAGTGATCGATCTCTCGGTTGTACGGGCAGAACTTCGACCCTGTCACCCTGGTCCGTGAGATTGATTGTACGGACAACCCAGGCGAAAGACGGGAAGAGCAGAGGAAAAGAGAGAGACCTCAGGCTCAGGCTTCAAGAAGTGGGCAAGTATAAAGAGGGCCCCCGGCCCCCCTTCGCCGTCTTCGGGCAGGAGAGCAAAGAGCAGCTTGCATTTCTCCCCTACCATTTCTCATCATCTTTTTGTAAGTTCCGGTGCTTGGTCCGCCCTGGTCCTGAGTCGCCGGTGTCAAGTCCCGGTTGCAAGCACAAAGTCCGACCAAGAAGAGGCAGTAGCAACGGGCTGGTCAGCAGGAGGACGAAGCCCCACCCGCACCCGAGAACCTCAGAAAGCGAGGAAAGAGGGGACCCACTTACGGCATTCACACAGCAACGGGTCTCCAGAGGCTCCAGAGGCTTAGGGGGGGTCACATCCGAAATTCCAGCGGTAAAGGTCTCGGTCGAGCACGGGCCATCACCGGAAGCACTCTGAGACCTTCCTCCGCTCTCCCCGGTGGGCCACTCAAGTCGCGGACGAAAGCGTGCACAGCGTGTTTTTGGCGCGTTCTGGATTCGGTGCAAAAGCTGGGTTCGCGCTAAGAAGCTAAGCGGCCCTTACCCCTGGTCCAACGTCACAGCACCCCCTGCTGGTCTAACCCGCTTTGGGCGGCCTGTATTGTGACTTCCTTCATTGCGTACTCGTTGTATTCTTTTACTACACGCGACAGACTTCACGTCTGTCTTCCCTCATCGTACTGTCCGTCCCAGGTTACGGTTCTCAACTTGCAGGAAAACGCTTGAGCTTTTTCTATTGAGCTGTCCGGCATTGAATTTGAGAAGCGTCTTTACTTTTTCAACTCTGCACCAAAACAGCGAGGCGTGCATTTGTCTCAGAGCTGCTCTCTAGTCGCGCATGGGCTTTAAGTGGTTTGATCCACTTCCCAAAAACGCGACTTACACCAAAGCCGGGCTCAGGACGCGACTTCCTTCACGACCACGGCCATGATACCCGCCCCGCGCTTTACGTGACGCCTGCACTTTACCACTTTAACCACTACAAACACCAATTCGTAACCCACTCTCAACTCTCAATCCCTCCACTTTCTTTTCCTTTTTTCCCACCCTTGGTCACCGCCCAACAACTACTGCCGGCACCACTCGACTCTGTCGGCAATACCTCTCTACCTATTCGTCTTTTCATATTTGCCCGTCATCTCACTTTCGAACTGGACGAACACTCGAGTCGGTGACAGCCTCGCCTACGATGGCGTCGCCAATGCCATCAGCACCTATGGGCAACTGGGGAGGTAACGGCCAAGCGATGCCACCACAGCCTCCTCCTGGCCCAGCAGATATGGATGATGCGGGTGTCCAGATTCGAACCATGGGCCGTGAGTGCTTCCCGTTTTGTTCCTGCTCTGGCGTCCGTCGGATATACTGACTGGGAGATGCAGTCAAGGTCATTTACGCGTTCGCCGACAGCGGCGAGAGCTTCCTGGCGCGACACTCAGAACTACTCACCGTCCAGACAGTACCAATCGACGAGAAGACCACAGTCGGCATGGTAGACTTGAAGTTGTGTGCCCAGGCCGTTGTTAAGTGCAGCCCTGAGCTGCTGAGCGACGCCACCCGCGACTTTGCCGTCTACGCATACGACTATTCAGAACCCGATGAGCCGTTGGTCGGACAGGGCTTCCTAGGATGGATCATGAACAACACAGATGGCAAGAGGATCATTGGTCGCACCACCAGGAATCCTCTCTCGGTCTTTAGCGGTGGCGTCAAGGAGATCTTGGAGATCAAACTGAAGCTGAAGCCAGTAGCCGCCATGACACAACCGAGATACGAAGTCGAGCCTAGACCGGACGCTCGACACTCATATCAGCGCTCTGAAAGCCACATGAGCGTCGAGATACAACCCACGAGACCCAACGATGGTGCACTCACGCCCAATAGCCATGCCGAGTGGGCCAGCTTCATGCAGTCGAATCAGCAGATGGGCAACCAGCAACATCCCCAAAATGTTGCGTCCCCTCACCACCTACCCCAGCACCACAACGAATTCCAACACCAACCACAACCACCACCCCAGCAACGACAACAAATGCAACGAAGCGATTCTTTTGCTTACAATGGGCACCCGCAACAGCAAATGCAAAATTCACAACTTCAACAGACCATACCTCAACCACCTATGCAAAATTCTGAAGGGCCTAACCGGGTGGCCCCTACCCTTGTTGACACAGCAACCGAGACTCAAGTGAACCCACCATCGAGACCATCATCCAGGGCTTCAAACACATCAAAGAAATCAAGATCTACCGGACGACCGCGTGGTCGCCCCCGGAAGCAGCCGAGGGCTGAGACTCAAGGTAACACGTCGGGCTATGAGGATGGAACCGATGGCGACGATGGCCCAGCCAAGAAGAAGAGGGCAACCATGACCCAGGTCATAGGCAACATCAATGCCCCCTTCGGTGGCGGCTCTGGCCCTCTCCGCGTCACAGCAAGCACGGCTGGCTCCTTGCGAACCTTGCGACCGGCCGGGATTTCTCAAGACCCTTCTATGGGCTCTCACATGCAGGATGTGCCTAGAGCCCCGACACCCGTCCCCGACAGAGGTCCGTCAATGCCACAGGGTGGCAAGGCCACGAAGGGTAGCAAGTTGCGTCGGCAGTCAACTTTGAGCCAGGCCGCCACGCCCCCCAGCCAACCCCAGTTTTCCGAACCGCCCTTTGCCATGTCTCCGAGTCAACAAGATGGCCGTTCCCCGGACTCAGAGGCCGTGTCTCCCAACTTTTCCGAGGACAGCCCTGCAGCCATTGGATCTTCACCGCCTGTCCCTCGTACCACCAGCTTTGTGCGGTCAAGTCCGCCGGCGTCCAGCCCGATACTCCCCCCTATGCGAATGCCAATGCCAATGCCACAGCATGATTCTGGCTTTATGAGCGGCGGCGTTGACGACCTTTTCGATGGCGACATTATGAAGCCACTTCCGAAACCCGTTGCTACTGCACCGAAACAATCCAAAGGGCGAAAAACGAATCGCAATGAGACCAAGGAACACATAGATGAATCCGGTATCCCCATCCAAGTCTTTCAGCTGGCGGAGCATGTGCCCAGCGAGATAGATACTGCTCCGAAGATCCGGAAGCAACTCCCTCCCAAAGCACCCACTTCGACGCCGTCGACAGAGCCATCACTGCCACCTCTCCAGCACGCCGTGAGCGAGTCCAACATGACAGTGCCTCCGCAGCCTGCGGGAAAAGAGCCCTCACCACAACAAGAGGAGCCGGTTGTGGTGATAAAGCCTGATGTCGATATGGACAGTCAAAGTGCTCCCAGTTTCGAGGCGCCTCGGTCTGAAGCTAGCCTCGACATGAGACTCGAGCAACTTGTACAAGCTGTGCAGGATAAAGCACCTGACGTAGTCTTGCCAGAGCCTTCGACATTGGCTCCTATCGCGGCCGACGTCTTCGCTCTTCCTTCCGCACCACCTTCGCTTTCTCGGTCTACTTCAGAATTTTCGCAGTCACTTCCAATGGTCCCGGCCAGCGACCCGATCGGCCCTATCGCATTGCCAGCTCTCCCACTTCCAGATATAACATCTTTCTCCGAAGCGCCTTGCCCGCCAAGCGACGCGTTCCAGCCCCCAAGATCACCAACCCAGGCTCAGAAGGCAAACAAGAATTATGTCAAGAAGAAGGCCATCAGAGAAAAGCTATTGCAGGCCATCGAGAGTGGGCAAACCCCTATGTACTGCAACAATTGTGGTGCTATTGAGACTCCCACGTGGCGCAAGATTTGGTCTCAAGAGCATGAGGGTGTCCCCGAATTCACCGAGTTTTCAGATAAGCCTGGCAGAATCACCGCCATCCTGGTCTTGGAGCGAGATGACGAAGATAAAGTCACCAAGTACCAGGTCATCAAGAAAGGCTTGGCACCTCATGAGGACAAGTCAGAATGGAAATGGCATATGCTCTGCAATCCCTGCGGTATTTGGTTGTGTAAATGGAAGGCACATCGGCCATCGGAAAAATGGGAGAAGGACAGATCTCGCCTCAGTCAACAAAGACGGCCTCGGGGTACTGGGCGAGCTCCTAGACCGCCCAGAACGAAGAAGTCAGACTCGGCAAACCCACTCAATCCGACGTCTGAAGCTTACTTCACTACGGACCCCATCGGCCCTGACGATCGAGGCATCTCGCCCATGGATGAAAGCAGATCTCGCGGTATCTCACAGGTCAGCAATGCCAACGAGGCTTCACAGCGATCAGTCTCTCAGTTATCGATGTCTCAACCGCCTGATTGCCAGGGCTCACGGCCAGCGTCGCCCGGGCATGCCTCCAACCCAGGATCTACCCACTCTCGAGGAAGCGGTACCGCCAAGAGCCCAATCACCCTCGACAATACCGACGTGGTGCAAGATATGGGTGGTACCCGACGGCTCCTATTCCCCTCACCTCGAAAGGAAGGCGTTGCTAAGGTCCTGGGTGAGGTTGCTGTTAACATCGTACAAACTGCGCCGGAACTCAACGTCTCGGCGGAAGCTGCACAAAACAAGGACTCCACCGACAAGTCTAGCAAGGACGAAGCGCAGAAGGACACCGGGTCCAATAAGGAGAACCTGGCTATTCCTGATGATGACCTCGAAGATCTGTTTCGAAGCCCCATCGCTCGTCCATCGACACCGCCCCCTCGGGAAAGGCCTGCTAACAGCGGCCCCTTCAAGACTCCCACTCGACCGACACCTAGCCACCGTCCCATCACTAGAAGCGTCACTAGGAGTGTCTCGCGATCGTTGAGGTCGGGCGATATGCTCCGATCCCCGATGGCTATGCGCCGCACGCCTATGCGGACTCCGCGGTCGGCTAAGGGCCAAATCCGGAGGAGCCCTCGCCTCCATCATGAAGAGTTCTCTCAGATGGAGATGGCATTAGAGGAGTACCTTTCAAGCCAACCGGTCGACCACCAGTATGACTCTGATATGCTAGAGGCTATGAACCGAGCATTGGCCGAGTCTATGAATGCTCCTGGTTCCAGTTTTGACATCACCAGTATGATGATGGATTCAGACTGTCAACTCGAATTCGGTGATCTGTTGGATTCGCCATCCAAGCCGACGCCGCGACCGGCTCGGCAAACGAATGATTACGAGGATTGGGAGACGTGGGAGAAGAACATGCGTGAGCGCCAGGCGGCAGATGATGCCGCACGCGACTAGATACCCGGTGGGAGGATAGAATGGTCGTGATGTTTACTACGAGATATCGCAGTGGAAGTTTTCACGAAAGCGCGGGACATGGGTCCACGCAATACGCGCAGCGTCGCCACGAGTCGTACGATATTTATTGGTTTTGAGGGAGTTGCATTATAACAGCGCGCCTGCGGGCATGAAATATATGGGGAAAGGCGTTTCAGGGCATCACAAAGAGGATGCCTGGTGGACTTAGAGTTCCAAACACTGGCCTTGGTGCCATGGTGATGAGTCACATGTTGCCTCTGCTACTGCATTGATTCAATAGTTCAGGATGAGGCAATTGGCCTTATTCCAGCAATACATTTGTTAATGACCTATATACCTCTCATTCGTGACAACCCCATGTTATTTCTTACCTCATAGTGACTTGTATCGTTCCGTCATTACATATGCCATGTACAGCTTCAATCTACTTTTCATAACTAAATGAAGGATGAATAACACCTGTCGTTGGCAGATGGACACTTTCGTCAGTACCGGCGAAGTGCGAGGCGCAGATTACCAACATTAACTTCAGTCAGTGCAGTTTTTCTTCTAAGCTAAGGTGGGGGGCTTGTATGTTGAGCCTATGTAGATACTAGTAGTGTTATCCAACGACGTACGGTAATGCTGTATGCATGCCCGAAATCTCTGGGGCTAATGTGCCAAGTCGAGGTGATGGCTGCCTACTTTGTCCCTTGGCGGTATCTCGAGATTGAAAGTCTCTAGTGTAGCCTACCTCGCCTGTCAGAAACAGCTACAAAAAGGGCAAACGCAGAGGTGTGTCTCAAAAGTGCCAGTTGAAGCGCTCCTGTCGAGAGTCGTCAGAAAACAGCCAGAGAAAGGCAGGTACAAAGATATATCTCGAGACATCAGTATAAGCGATCCAACTGATAGTCGCGTAGAGTTGGGAATGGTGTTGAGGTTGAAATTTGCGTATTAGGCGCTGAGTGATGACAAGCAAGAGCTATCAAAGAAGTTTTATTTCTGTTTTCATTTGTCCCCGTTTTACACACACACACTCTCTTACCACAGCCCGTCACTCTCATCATTCGGAGGTGATCTCTTACCCATTTCGAGGAAGAAATAAATGCCCAATGTAGCCTTGAAACTTGACATGTAAATCAACAAGAAGCAAAAATAAGTCGTCGCAATCAAAAGGAGCATGTAAAACCACAGTCTGGACCTGTTACAGCCGACTAGGATCATACCTGAGATATTCAAGCCTAATGCAAGTTTCAACTACTGGCACCACCCCAAACCCGAGCACACCTAGTTGTTGAAAAAATCCGACCGCGCGATGTGCTCTTTGGGCCTGAGGGAAACAATATCTTTCTCGTAGTCTGAGTTAAAAGACGCATTCCCTCTCTTTAGACGCTACTCTCTACATCCATGGTAATAAGCAATTCCTTTGCTACCTTTAGAAATGATAAATACTAGGTGTACCTCTTTGATCAGGGGAAGTAGTATATTCCTTCATAGTTGATAATTTTTGTTTAACTATTTTTCTTGTGATTATTATCAGGAGCATCTTCGCTCTTATCAGCCACTACTCATCATGCTCATGTTTATAAACAATCTCTTTACTTTCATGGGCTGCTACTCCCTACGCACGTATTCATGGATAATTACCTCGCTCGTGTGAACCACTGCTCCTCACGCTCGTATTCGTGGTCGACTAATTCAACGCCTCCGTGAAGATATGAACGCCCGGCATGATAACCAGAGACAAGGTCTTCTCCTGCCCAGGTCTGGTGTTGGGAAGCAGCTCCCCAAGCGCCGAAGGAGCGGAGAATCTACGATGCGGCCCTCGCTAATGCGTTCCGAATCCCGGCACTTCAATGCTGAGGCTGGTTCTCCCAGTCTCCCTACAAAGCCCAATATTGAGACATAGTTCCCTAAGCCCCAAAGAAATTGGACAGAGTCACGTCTACCCTGGTGCCTTAGTCTACTGGATGATAACGACTGGCTCATGTTTGCTGGTGTAACGTCAATCATCTTCGAAACATACACCAATTCAGGAGAAGCACACCATCTTCAGCCCAACCTTTCGTCTGATTATGCAGGTACCGAAAGGTTAGGGACACAGAGCGAGGATGATGGCGAGGACGCCGAGGATCCGGAGTTGACAGTAGGTGATCTATAACAACCGCGCAGCCCTGGGACTGCACCCGTCTACAGTCAGGTGATAGGACATAAAGTACACGTATTCTACACATTTTAACAACACCGCACTTGCTTCCCCGATTTTGGCTTCCAGCTTCTTCCGCTGCGTTACATCCCGGCTCGGCGGTGCTTCGGCCGCCCGGGTAACCGTCCCCGTCCTCTCCGCTCCTACAAACGCGCACAACGTTGACTCCTCTACTTCCTCCTGACCAAGCCCTTGGCGTTGGAGTATCCCTTGATGCGCTTGGTGTACTTCCACAGGTGCTTGTACTTGGCGGTCTGGCGCTTGGCTTCCCAACCGCGGGCCTTCTTGGGCTCCTTGAGCGAGAAGACGCGCTTCGGGCGGAACTCAATGTCGGCGCCCGGCACACCGGCGCGCTCCATCACACCAGCCGTGTTCTCATCCCAGATGGTGCGGAAGATGTTGAAGCCGACAGGCTTGAGGTTGAACTTGTCGCGGTAGGACTTGAGGGAGAAGCCGTCGCGGGCCTGGTAGAGCTTCTTGAGCTGGGCGGTGTCGAGCTTCTGGTCGCCCTGCTCAAGGATGAAGATGGAGAGGCGGTGGTAGGGGGAGCCCTTTTGCGCGAAAGCGGGCAGGTAGGGGACGGCGAGCTGGGCCTCGTCGCGGATCTTAGAGAGCGGGATGGACGTGGCTGTCGGCGAGACGGGGATGTTGGCGGCGAGGTAGTGGCAGCGCTTGGTGAAGCCGTCGGTCTCGACGGAGGGTATATCCGAGTCCATGATGACGATGGAGACGAGACGCTCGCCTGCCGTGAAGGGGGTGATGCGCAGACGCGGGGGCACCTCGGAGATGTTGCTGGGGAGGATCTTGCCAGGGGGGACCTTGGAGCGGCGGAAGAAGAGCTGGACGTCGTAGGTCGGCTTGATCTTGGGGAGAATATCGGGGATGATGTTGAGCTGTTGGATACGCTGCTCAATCATCTTGGCCTCGTAGGATTGCCACTTGCGCTCGGCAAGGAAGCGGTAGATGGGTTTGCTCATGTCACCTGTTCCAGAAGGCATATTAGCACTCAATGCGCGTCTCAAGCACAAAAATGTACGTCATGTATCCATACCGAGCCCATCCTCGAACCGCCTCTTGACAGCGGGATCGTTGATATCCGCCAAAATCTTCAATCTCTCGACCTGCTTCCGCAGACTGGACAGCCTCATCTGACGCATCCTCTCTCCTCCCCTGACCTGATCACCACTCAAGCCCTCCAACAGCTTTATCGCTTCCGTCTCCTTCACAATAGCACGCAGCTTCTCCTCGCGGTCGGCGGCGAGGATCTTGCGCGCCTCCTGAAATGCCTGGTAGGGCAGCTGCTCAAAGGGGATGTTTGAACTCGTGCGGATGGCATAACGGCGACGTCTCGAACCGACGGGCGGTGTGCCTGCCTTCCACAGATCCTTCTCGGCCCATGGCGCGACGGCCGTGTTGGGGTCCAGCTCGACGGGGTCGACGGTCTCGGGGCGCTCGCGCGACACCTTGTACACTTCGGCGGCAGGGGCGGGCGTCGTCGAAAGACTTCTCCGTATCGGCAGGGGCGTGGCGACTCTGTCCAGGCATCGGTGAAGCGGCCGGATGGCCTGCCTACACGACGATGACATTTTGGGCTGTGAAAAGAGAGGGGGCGTGGTGGGTTCGGCGGGTGGTCGTATGATTCCCGACCAGAGCTTCTGAAGGAGGTTTTTCACCAGAGCTTCACGAGTCTGCTTTGCGGGTACCCATAATTATTTTTCCAATTGAACGGCGGAATATCCCGCCCCGGACAGGGGACTGGAGCTCCCATTGACAAGCCACACAGCGTGCACGCTGCAGGTACGTACCAGCAATTGACGCTGTCTGATTGGTAGCTTCCTTCGACAGGACGGGCCAAATTTTCGTGTTTCCTGTGCAAAGGGTTGCAGCTCCCGATATTCTAACGCATCGAAGGAGCAGCCCATCGAACATCGCGAACTCCCCTTGCGACGACCGTGTACACAATGGCCAGAAAAGGAGTCAGGAGCCTCGGAGAGGCTATGAGGGGGCTTTCCCTCTCATCGACGTGCAGGAACGCGAGCCCTGCTACCTCCTTCATCGGCTCATCCAGCTTTACGAGATCAATGGCCACCGAGGCGCCATTCCCCGGCATCACAACCTCCGTCTACAGCACACCTAAGCAGGCGGAGTGGACACCAAGTACGTTCTACGGAAACATACTCCATTCTTCAAAAGATGCAAGCCCTAACACCTCTTCTTAGCCACATCCGTCCCCGTCACAGTTCACGCCTTCCCGACGCTCGAACCCCAATCCCTCGAGTCCTACTCGACGAAGCACCTCTACCTCCCCCTCCGCCGCGACCTCCTCCATCTCGCTGTCGTCTACGAGGGTGATTCCACCCGCCAGGGTACGGCCAGCACCAAGACCAGATGGGAGGTTCGCGGCTCGCACAGAAAGCTACACCCGCAAAAGGGAACCGGCCGCGCCCGCGCCGGCACGAAGCAGTCGCCCATCCGTCGCGGCGGAGGTGTCTCCCACGGCCCCAAGCCGCGCGACTTCAGCACCTCACTCAACCGCAAGGTCTACGACGTCGCCTGGCGCACCGCCCTCAGCTACCGCTACCGCCGCGGCCAGCTCATCGTCTGCGAGGACGGCATGGAGCTGCCCCTGCCCCAAGACTTCCTCGCCCTGACCGACGGAGGCTTCGTGGGACCCAAGATTGCGGAGGAGTACCGCCGCAAGTGGATGATGCAGGTCCTTGAGGCCAACCAGTGGGGCAAGGCTCACGGCCGGACGTTGTTCATCACCAACGGAGACAGGCCGAGGCTGGAGGAGACGATGGAGACCGTGGGAGACCAGGGCAGGTGCCTCGGTGTTCACGATGTGGATGTCAAGGATCTGTTGGAGGAGGGACGCGTGGTTGTTGAGCGCGCGGCGCTCAACGAGATGATCGAGTCGCACCAGAGTGACTTGATCAGCAAGATCTTCATTGGTGGTGCTTTGAAGCGTGGCCCGGCCATCGGTGGTTCGATCATTTCATGAAGCATCGAATGTGCTTTGAAAAGGGGGAAAGGGGAAGAAGAGGAAGAGAAATCTGTCGATATATGTAACACCAATCAACGAGGAGATCTTCAGGTTAGAAGGCGCCTCTCCGGCTTGTAGCAATAGAAGGCACAAACTGCCGTTCACTCTGTAACCTATTTTAAGGGAAAGATGCATTTGCGGATCTGTGTGGTAAAACAGAGTCATCGAATGAACACAAGTATTATTTCAGACATTACATATTGTTTCCAATAGCGAACAAACTTCTGCGATAGAAAAAGACTCTGGTCTATTGATCCAAAAAGGGCCAAATCTCTAGACTCTGGAGGCTGATAGGAACTTGCTGCTATGCTCAGTTGCAATGAATCGAATTGATGCTACCTTAGGTAACGAGGGGCTACCTGAGCACCTTATGCTGTCACATACTTGGTTTAGTTGCATAAATGTATCAACACCAAAGTTGCGACTTGTATGTTAACCTTTTCCCCTCCAGAAAAGGCAATATGGTCTAAGATCCTCCGTAGAATGCACAAATTGAACAACTCGTGTGTGTTTGCGTATGCTGAAACCAAAAATGGCAATTGCAGAACATGGCTTTTTTTTTTCTCTCTGGCGACTATGGGGCTGTGGACGTCCGACTTGCCTCTATTCGGAAACCTGACACGCCATACTGCGTCGTTAGAACCTGGCAGGAACCCCGGGTATTGTTGTGTCGCCCCCGACTTGAGTCGAACGGAACCCCACACACGCATATACACGCTCAGTCAGCCGAAGAAAAGACGAGACTGAACAGAGATACTCAACGCGGGTAAGAAAACGACATGAAATCAAACCTCGTGATTTCACTCTTCCGTCTAGGATCGCAGTCCAGTTCGCATCTCAAAGTGCCTACTTTGAAGCAAGGTACTTTTGACGCAAGGTACTTTTGAAGAGCAAAAGTATTAGGGTCAGTGAGCTAGACCACCGGGAACGCTCCGGGTATTTCCCAGCCCCATACATCTCCCATCGGGTAAAGTGGAGCGAGTTGCAATCAACCCGGCCCGAAAAAATCGAATACGAAAAGGGCGTTTGCAGGTTTCCCGCGCCGCCGCCGCGCTGCACCACGGCGGAGCGAGACGTACCTATCGGGGCCTATGCGCCCCAGCCCTACGTCATTGCAAGCAGGGGCATTCTCGTCCTTGGCCTCACCCACTCTCCCGCCCCATCAGTCAGTCGTCAGCGAACATCCACCACCACTCACCCGCCTTACCTCAATTTAGAGTTTCCGCTGTCCAAGGCAAACTACCTTGCCAGAAGCCTGCGGGCACCACCCCTGCTCTACGTCGTGTTATACATCATACAGCAGATTAAGGTACGGATAACTATTTTGCCTCATGTTTTGACGACCTCCAGTATTGTATCCGTCTTCAAGATGCCAAATTCGAGGGGTGTAGAGGAAGTCTGGATGTGATCAGATATAAGACACAGCTTTCAAGACGAGACAAGCAAGATACTGCGTAAATATGCAGCACTTCCAAGCTGAACAAGTTCCAAGAGACCAACATGCCGAAACATCCTCCTCTTCCTCCTCCTCGAAGAACGGAGCCCTGCAAGGCTGGACCAGATCCCTGCTCTCCCGCCTTGATGCCTGCAGCAAGGAGTGGAAGCAACGACAGAAGCACCGTCGTACAATACGATAGAGTATTCTAACCCGTGCTTGCTGGGTTCCTTGAAAACATTCATGGATACTCCCTCTTGTCTACCTGTACTCGGCGGCGGTCGCCGAAACTCGCCGCACGCGACCTGACAGGACGCATGTTCCTCTATATCCATGAATTACAGCGAGAAAACAGCGGGTCGTTGAAAGAAGCGTTTTGAACGTTTTCTCCTGTGTAATGCTAATTAGTGCAATACCTACCCGCCGTGGCGGGCCGTCCAAGGGATGGTTGGGCTGGGTTTTGGGGCCGCCGCCGGGTACACCTGACTGTCGTCCTAGCTCCCCGTACCCATCATCCCGTATTTGGGCATTTGGGGGCTACCAGTGACGTAGATATGTGGTAGTTCAAACTTCAGCCCAACGAGAAGGAGAGAGGTCCTTGTATGACCATTGTATAGGTACCTTAGACTGAAGATAGTTATTCTACTTGACTTATTCACCACTCTTGTTCCCTCCCTTCATCAACTTCTACTCACCTATCATGCCATGCCATGAGCGACATCCCCTCCCTCCCGGAAGCAAGTGAAATCCCCCGGGAAGACGACAGGACAAGGTCCCCCTTCGACCTCCCCCACTTCGCTTCTCAAGGCCACAGCTGTGATGTTGTATTGTTGTCGTTGCGAATGGGGAACCCAGGGAATCGAATCCAAGGGGGCCCGTACTGACGTAGTGCAGCACAAGCTAAGGTACAGTCTGTAGCTACCCAAATCTGACGTAGGATCCCGGGGCAAGCTCCTCCTCCTTCTCCTTCTCCTCCATGCCAATTTCTTCTAGTTCAAAAACCGACTTGCCCTCACAGCATATCGACTTGGTTTTATTCTGGTACTCTTTCCTCCCCTTCTCGCTCCTTTCTTTCCATGGCGGTGTGCCCGTACTTTGGTACTGTTGCTGAAGCTATCTGCCAGCTTGAACACACTTCCAAGTAACACCAGGTACACCTCCCAGCTTCTCAGGCAAGCTTCTCAATTCTCCTCCGACGGCGCCAAGATCTACGGGAGAAGGGCTTTTGATACATGCTACCACTTGGTATCAGCGCGTCAGTCTCGATGGCAAGATTCTTCGGGGGCATCGATCTTCTCCACCCGCCTACCCACCCTATTGTTCCCGTCTCACACCCCGCCCCTTCGATACATCGACTGCTCTCGACTTCACAAATTCCTCAATGGCTTCGAACCCGATCTTCAGTACAACTGTAACCTATTTCCCTCTATCCTCGAACCTTTGCCTCCATACAATCCCTCGTGGAACCGACCAGCTCCAACCGACCAGCTCCCAAACGATTCGCCCCGTCCTCAACCCTGAACTCGACCCTCATAACACCACACGCAACAACAGCCGACAAGGACACTCATATTGACCGATATTCCATCGACAAGGATACCACATCATGGTCTCGGCAAGAACTTACTCAAGCTCATTAGAACCGATGACCCCTAATACCGACCCCCCCGCCCCGGAAGCGAGGTCGAAAGCTCAACTCACCCCACCCCAGCACTAGTACGGGCAACATCGAGAACTCATCGAATACAACACCCAACATCCCCTGCTGCCATCGAATAATTGCGTAGCAACGACCGCTGGACCCCTTTTATTCTGCTCGACTCGGGGAGAATGAAAGTGATGAAGTGTTTAGTGGACACCGACTCCATCGCCAAACTTGCCTTTCATCGACATCCACGCAGACGATCCGATAGAATATGTCGGAGAGAAAAAGGGAATGGAAGAAGAAACATGAAGGAAAGCCCGCATTTTCAAGGTCTCGAACGTCCAAGATACGGCAAACGACATTCTCGTCACCGACGATGACAGCGACCCAGCTCGCCTGTTTGGACCCGCCATGATAACACCCTGCGAGCAAGCTTCTCACAGATCAGCTACTGATGGGCGGCTGGCTCTGCCGTAGGGCTCGAACCAATGTTCCGGCCGTTTGGATATGGTCTCCGTGTACCTACCCAAGTCGTACTACCACTTGAGAGAACGGTACCCCGAGGGGTTCCAGGTGTCAGCATCTTGCCCCATTCAGCATCCGGTCTGAACAGGGCCTTACACCCCGCGTAAGATCAGAGCATCTGCCTAGTGGCTTTGTGCCGAATTTTCTTTGTTCATATCGTTATCTTGTGTCTATCCGAATCCCCTATCGCTAGTTCGGCTTGTTGAATTCTTCACCTCAAAAGATGTACAGCCCAACTTTCCCCCAGGGTATCAGGTCGTTTTCCCAGCGCTGGTCCGGTAGCTGGCGGCTCAACTCTTCCGTATGGTTCCTTGTTGTCATTATAATCCCAAGTCATTGACCATAGCATTGCTATGTCCCCGAATCAATCCGAACTCCTATTCTGGAAACCCCACTCAAGATAGCGAGAGCTTCTTACTTATGCTGTGCCCAGAAAGGCTCAGCTTCTCAGGTCTCAGCGCCTTGCTATTCATTCCACATCGTCGCCAGCCACAGCGCCCTAGGCGTGGTCGAAAGCACTGTCGGGCATGTGGTCGTAATTGATATCAGCATCACTTCCAGATCTCGATGACAGGCTCGTCATAGCACGCTCTGAGCGGGCAGGCGATATGAGAGATATTTGACCTGGCATTAATCAATATCTCCAATGCTGTGTCGTGGAATGAGGGGTTTTCTTACTGTCAATTGACGGTCTATATCCTCCCCCAGTGCCGAATGGCCTGTTGCCAGCCATGCGGCTGGCATCAAGACTTTGCTTTTTTACACGCTCTGCGCTCACCTGAACGAATCGCCGGGCTTCGTTGTCGAGCCATAGGTTGATGTTCGGATCGTTGCAATTGGCGTGCGACATGAGCTCGTTCTTCATTCTCGTAACTTCATCAACCAGTCCATTGTATTCCATCTGCAGCTGTGCATGCTGGTTCTCCAGTCCCTGCTTGGTTTCCTGAAGGTCTGAGACCCACTCCTTCTTCTTTTGGCGACATTTGCTCGCAGCGACGCGGTTTCGTTCGAGGAACTTGTCTCTTTTAGGGTCTTGGTTATTCTGCTCCGGAGCTTTGCCTTTCCTTCCCTTCTTCCTGGGTGGGCTGGCATCATAAGGGTCCGCTGCTCGACTCGATTTTGACGGTCGAGGCTGCGTCGAGATGTTGGCGTCGGCCCGCGCACCCGATTGAAATGATGAAGCCGGAGGTATATTTAGTATTGTCGGCCTATCTTCGACGTCTTCTTGCTTCGTGTTGTACTGTGTTTGGCCATGATGGCTGTAGAATGAGGGCATGCCAGTCACCAGTGGATCCCAGGCACCCGGGACAGCCATATATACGGAAGGATGGTGTGCCATGTTCTCCGATGTGTCGCTATCTTCCGGTCGAACTAAATCGAGCGAATCTAGATGTAGTGTTCGTGGTTGATCGCTGGGGAAGTCATTGTTAGTCGGTGTTGCAATATCAACCGCATCATTGAAGAAGCTCGGAGGGGTATTCATCGTCCAGGGTAAGGATCTCGCCAGGTCTGGCGAAAGTGTCGAGCTCAAATTCTGCTGAAAATGGGTGTTCTGGTCGTGGGGAAGCGTTATCTGATCCAGAGTAGGACGATAAACGTTGTATCGTGTGCTGCTGACCTACCCAATGCGTAAAGACTACCAACTGGTTTGCGTGTGGCACTGGCTTTGGGCTTGCTTGCTGGGTCGAGAGACAGTACCCAGGGTACCGATAACGACGCCGGGCAGTACGAGAGGGAAAAAATAGGCAAAAGCGAAGACCGCGGGCAAGAAGGTGGAAAAGCGAGAAAACACACGATGAAGAGTTTGGCCAAAAATCGGACTGATCTCGACGCCTGCGTGTACTTGGCGATGGACAAGACCCGAAATTGGTTGCGCGGCGCGGTGTCAACGAGGACGTGTGGTGGCTTCGGATACGAGAAGGTGCTGCTTTGTTCAAGAAGCGAAGCTGATCCTCGTCGAGATCGAAAACGCAGGAGGGCACGCTACAATGCCTGATGGTTAGTGTCTGCGTTTGACAACATCAAAGAAGGAGTACGCAGAATTAAGAAGAGGTAGTATGGGGGAACGATGGATTAGGATTGCGACAGGTCAATGATGAAGATGGAAGTGGGTGACTCGGTGGAGCTGGGAGACAGGCATCATCAAGAGTAACTGAGAATACCTTGATATTGTGTAGAAACGGAGGGGTCGCTTGTAAACGGGGCACCGTGGGTATTCGCACTCTCCCACACGCAGAAAGGCAATACCACACACTGGCCTGAAAAGTGTTCTGGGATGGAGTGACAGGGCGAGGAGAAGTATGTTACATGGAAGGGCAAGGTAGGCGCAAACGGTAAGGACGGGAGGGGCTGGTGAAAGGGAGGTTGCGATATATCGCTGAGGACGGGAGTCTGAAGGTACTGCGGGGTTCTCAATGAAGGTTTGAAATCTGCGTACCACAGATGATTGGGGCAGCTGATCGTGCGTCAGTGAGAAAAGTCACTGTCGACGATCTGGAGAGCTGCCGAGTCGGACAATATGAGAGCAATACGGTCGAAGCAGGCCGGCGACCGGGCGTTTCGTGACGGGAAACGGTAGGCAGAGATCAGCGGAATGCCGTTCCAACGCGCCGAAAGACTGCTAACGACCCGGAGCGTACGGAAGCTCTGGTGGTTCGAGGAAGAAGCGGAAAATGATGCACCCGGCTAGACAGAATATCGATCAGTCGTAAAGCTGAGCTTCGAGTATTACTTTGTCGATGTTGGCGAAGAAGGCCAATGTCATGACAGTCAGCCTATTGTCGTTGTGCCGGTTGCAGCGTGGTGAGAGCGCGGCAACGTCTTGCCATCAGCCAGACAAGGATGCTCAGGTGGTGGTGGTGTGGGCACTGGGCTGGTAATGCTTGCAGTTTGATGGGGCCGTCGCAGTCGCGGTCACACAAGGAAGATGTCGGCGGGAGGGCAGGGATGGGTCGGAGGTTGCCAAGCAAAAGACGACGGAAGCAGAGCCGGGCGAGATCTCCCAGGTTGTTGGAGAGAAGAGAGGGATGGTGATGCTCGGAGCCGTGTTGAGGATCGAGGCCAAACTGGCTGAGGCGGATAGCAGCGGAGTAGGCTCCGGCAACCGATCAGAATGACGCTCAAAGCTAGCAAGCTGTGACAGAGAGGAGCAGCGGTGGAGTCCAGATGGAGCGGAATTGACAATGGATGTGGGATCAAAGAGGCTCGATGTGGGCAGGTAGGAGCTTTTCTCAGGAATAGACAGTGTGCAGGTTGAGAAGAGGGGGGGATGAGAGACGGGGATGGGAAGTCGTCGTCGGTAGAAGGCGATGAACGGAAATGGGGGTGGGAATTTCAATGGCATAAGGTACGGAGTACCGCATACCACACATGAGATGGGCAGTCGGGAAGGACGGGAGCTTCGACAATTGCATTGCCTCGAACACCACGTTTCTACTTTCCTCAACAGCATTTCCCCTAACAATTGCCTTTAGCTCAGGCTCCAATTACCTCACGCTACCTTGCTTCCAGTTAGCTTGAAGAGGGAAAGGCAGGTAGGTAGGTAGAACATCCAGAACTGAGAAAAGCAGTTAGGCGAGATGGTGCATCTACCTCAGCTTAGCTAGACTGAAGTGTTGCTCCCTCGGCAGAAGCAATCACATTGGATCAGGTCAAACCAAACAGCTAACACACAGGCACCTTATCTGTCAGACACGGGCAGACACCCAGTCGATGGTATGTACACATGCAGCGCCAATATCAGCGCCGGTTCCAGACTCCCAGCACCACCATTGCGACCATTTGAATTTGTAGCTGGGCGTCTTCACTCGTTCACCTCCCTTGCTTTGGGTACGTACGATGCACCATACACTACATGAATTCACCTCAGCTTACCTTGGCTGCGCGACACAAAATGGCGGGGTAGGTAAGGCACCTAGACAGTATAGCTTCTACGCTAAGCACCTTTTGCCTCTCAGACAATGCCATAGCTGTGTACCTAGGTAGTGTAGCAGAGCTGGATGTTAATAATTATCGCAGATAATTACTGCTGGACGAGCTAAGGCAACCAGACCTCCCGAGTCCCGTCTAAGCTTCATCCAACACTTCGTCTTCAGACACAGACACACACACCCACCCGATCCGACCCCTCTGCTGTGCAAGGCCAGGTACCTAGGTCGGCACCCATTGGATGCCAGAGACTGACGAGAAGGCAGGCACGCCGCACATTCATCAAAGTCACTAGGTACCTACCCTGCCGTCCCTTCCCCCTCCCACCTCCCACCTCACCTTGTCCTTCCTGGGTTCGCCATGGGGCCGTTGCCTTGGGGGCTAATTGTTGGCAGAAGTTGGAAAGCTGCGACCAAGTCCCTGTTCTTTCGGATGAAAAACTCCGGAAAATAATAAAGATAATGGTAGGCACCTACGCTTCAATACCGTCGCCGGTTGCCGTTTGTCATTGCATTACAGTACTCAAGATCCATATCCTTCCTTACGCTTCTTTCTTCTTCCCTTCCTGTACGACACACCGGCGACCGAAATGGGCCCACGGCGCCGAACTGCCTTCATAATCCCTTGAGCCATTGCTTGCCAGGGGAAAACACGGACGACCGGGGATGAGGGGACACATCGAACGGTGTGTCAGTGCCTAAGTTCGAGCTAGTTGCAGTTAGCAACCTCAGAAGAGGCACATTCAGCGACGCATTCCAGACGAGATTTTGCCCAACTTTCACCATAACGATACTCCCAAGAAGCCATGGAATCTAACCCAAGTGCCCGCCAGGGACCATAGCCTGTGAGGGTGAGGGCACAGACCAGAGAGCGACTTGGAACAGCGAGGAGTGGGTGTGAAAGTCTGGGAACAGCAGCAGGACTGCAGGACCAGCGACCACCACCACGACCATCAAGACAGATGGGATGTGACATTGATGCTGTCCGGGAACCAATGGAAAGTGCTCTCAGTGGAAGGTCCGGGCGCCGGGTTGAGCTTTCCTTCCACCATCCATGCCACCTAATCGTCGCGGCCCCGCCGTTGCCAGCTTCCTGCCTGCCCAGGGCCCTGCTTGCTTCAATCCTACCTGGCACTTGCACTTTCTGTCGAGTGCGGCTTGCGGCGTGCGGCGTGCCATGGCCCATGGCTGGTAGGTGCAGGGGAAAGCTCGGGAACGCTTGGTACATTGAGTGGAGAAAGTGAGGGGCAGCCCACCTCATCCAGAGTGTTCACTGTTCAGTAACTTCAGCGTCGCCCAAAACGGTCACGCCAAACCACCGTGAACAGAAAACAGCTCTGAATTTCGCCCACCTTGGACACCGCACTGCATCAGTGCATGCTCCTTCATACCTTACCACTCACGCCGTAGGGATACCTACTGTGGACGACGGAAACCCGACTGCTCTTCTCGTCCACCCACATCAACCTGCATCTTGACAACGAGGATAATGAGGGAGCCAGCTTAGCATTCGCGGTGCTTTCCCCCCCTGGAAACTATCAAACACCTATGTTTTTGCCTCTGCTACCGTCTTTGATCTTGTCTTGATTCCGTCTCGACTTGTCCCGTCGTGGTCTCTCATCTTGGGTAACCTTCATTTCTCCATGGAGCGACCGGCATACCCGGCAGGGCCCCATCTGCACACATTACACACTACGTGAGCGTGGTGAGTAAGAGATGCGTCGAGACCAAGAAGTCACGTCCAAGTTGAAAAGATTGCCCCAAGCTCACGATGTCTTTCAGATCTACACGTATATCAATCTATGTTTTGGGCTGTCAGCGCCAGATATCACGATGCCAGATCGCCGATTCTACGCCAGCGATTCATGTCGCAATGGATCCCAGTGCGCACCCTGACAACCTAGCCCGGGTAGCCGTGCTGCGATCCACGACAGCACTGTCACGGCCCGAGAAAAAACGGCAACTCCAAGCCTGATGTCACTCGCTATTCCCGCCATGTCCGCCTATCTCCTGCTGCTGGCGGAGACTACTCCCGTTGAGGCTTTGACTAGAAATATCCGTACAATATCTTTGGAATACCCCAGCATCCGCCTAAAACGGAAAGGAGAGCGGCCAAGGAACCCCCCAAAACCGCCTTCTTACAGACCAACGAACTTTGAACAAACCATTGAGGTCATTGGGATGTTGCGCGCGTGAAGAAACCAGCGGCTCGCGTCCCCGAACGGATACACTATACGGTAGGTCAAACCTTACCGAATGCCCTGTTTTCAACCGAGATGTCTGCCCAACCCCAGTCAGGGGCCTTGGCCTCACTGGCCACTCCCTGCATCTATGTCTTGCCGCCAAAGGACCCTGAATTCGTCTTGTTGTCATTGCCACCCGCCCAACTCAACCTTTTTATTATCAGCCGCTGTCTGCCAGACGCATGGTCCAAGGAACGACAGGTGATGTTGCCAACGCAGCTCATCCCGATGCCACATTGTCTTGACAAATGCATTATGTGCTAATATTGCGTCACAGAATGGTAAACAACACGGCAAGTTTGCTACTCTGTCCACCCACCGCCAATGCCAGAGTGGAGTGATTACGGCGTCCCCATCGCCGACTCATGTCCCGTCTTGCTTCGGTCCTGGACGAGTCGTCGCGTTTCGATTGATTGCCTGCCGCTGTCAGAATTCCAAGTTTTTCCCAGTCTGCCATGCACCGCCGAGACCGGTAGCCCCCAAAATGGAAAGAGATTGACGTCTCAACCCACGATGAACCTCGACAGGTGTTAGGGGCTTAGAAATAACATGCTGAGCAACAGAAAGCCGTTGTTATTTTGCGTAAAAAAATGGTTTGATTGGATGGTTGCACCAGAGGACCCTTCATGCGTCCAGAAAGTCAATATAAACGAGCAATGTCGTCAGAGGGCGACATTGAAACATGCCGAGCAACGATGGACCAGGCGTAAAACGAGGTCGATATCATCAAAGCCAACGTTCTAAAGTCGACTTCCTTCGAAGAACGATGTAATGTAAGACCAAGCCGTCAAATAATGTCGTCTTGCACTAGATGTAAGGTGAGTTGCGGGGAGGCACAGTAGGAAACACCAGGTAGATTTGTCCACTGTCAGCCATCAACACGGTGCGCTTTTCCATCACGAGATGCTCAATGATCGGCCGGAGCCCTGCAAACTCTTTCAGGGAAAAGAAACAAGCAATGGGACTCAAATGACATCATAGGGATGCAAGGAAACCATCCTGAGAAAAGTCTTGCGTGGTAGGATGAGATCCACAGGGCACCACTTTGGTGACTCGCTCACCATACTTCGGTCTGGTGGGTGGACTCGACACAGTCTTTCAAACCAACAGTGAAATGTCCGATTGGACATGAACACCACGAGAATTCCAGGCGGTCAAAAGTCAATTGTCCCGGGGCCACGTCATGGTTCGCCAAGGGAATCATTCTTTCATCTCCCCTGTGATGGGTAGATAATGATGAAGACGGTTGCGAGGATAGGATACCGTTAATATAACGTTTTTGACGATCTCTAAGAACGGTTCAGGGACCAGCGCAGATCTCCATGGGCCGGATCGGGTAAGGTGTGTCATCACAGACCACCTGACAGGTCACCTGACACCGCGACAAGTGCTGGGCGAGGGTGTCTTGTCGCGGCGCGTCTGCCCCTCAGTCAAGGCCAAATTCCATCCCAAGGATCTCGACCAACCGTTCCGCATAAGACGAACTGCATCCGATCAGTGTGTTCACTGCCTTTCTGTCACAACCATACACTTTGGATCTGTAGCACCCATCGCAGATCCTTGCAAAACCAGCAGCCTATTGAACCAAGAACACCAACAATTAAGCCATGGCCGAAGCGACCTCGACCCCGCGCATCACGGCGCAGTACCTCGACAACTACGTCGGTCGTAACGTCATGCTCATTGGCAAGGTCTTGCAGCTGCGTGGTGATTCTGCCGTTCTTGACGCGGACGGAAACGTCACTGCAATTCTCAATCGCGTAGGTCTTTTCCCCAAGATCTCTATCAAGGCAACATGGCTTTGCTTCGACCGACTTTAATACATCGATAAGTGGACGCTAACCCTTGACAGGATGTCCACCTCACCAATGGTAACGGTGCTCAGATCATCGGCAAGGTCAACCCGGATCTGTCCATCAAAGTCCTTACCTCCCGCGATCTGGGACCCGGTGTTGGTGAGTACCACTAGTTTCCATCTGTCTAGAAATCATGTGTCTCGTTTAAACGGCATTCTGTGACGGGGACTTAAGACGTCGTTTGAACCTGGCAACTTGTACCCTTGGCACATCATGGGGCTGTTCTGCTCAAAGATCCATCCCCATCTCATGCTCAACAACGCGCTTCATGCTCTCAACGTCTCTCGCAAATACCCTTACAGCACCTTTCATCATGAACACCCCCACCAAGCACACCGCTGACAAACCTCTCCAGACTACCAGCTCGCTGCGGCCGTAGTAGAGGCAACGCATCACTACAAGCCCCTCTTCGTCTTTGACAATTGACGGCACCAGCCGTACGGGCGTGTGTACGGGCGCAACCAGGTCACCATCCCCTCACCCAGTCCACCCGAGCGCAATACGCCCCGAGCTCCCGTGACCCGGCCGGTGACGACCACCACAACCACGGCGAACTCCATCCAGCTGCGCCGACAGCAACAGCACCATCACCAGCATGATTATGAGAGACGGCTGCTGCAGCAGCAAACACCACCTCCCACTCAACGTCGACCACCCCGATATATCCCGCCCACGCCAACCCCACCTTCCCCAAGCCTGACGCGGTACCGATCAATTACCCCTACCCCTTTAACTTACCCCCCATCACCCCAGACCCAGGAGCGTCATGCCTCCACCATTCAGGCATCTCAACAACCCCGCAAACATGATCAAGACTACCGACAATCTTTAACCGTGAACCACGACAAGAGGACAAGTATCCCCTACCGCCCTTCTCGCACAGCAATTCGACCTCCGACACCGCCATCACCAGACGTACCCACGCGGCCAAGCTTCGCCTCGTCTACGCCCGAACTTACCTCCACCTCAAACCATCCACAGATCCAGACTTCCTCCGAGATCTCCAGTAGGATCATCAAAGCCAAAGAGGGACGAGAGGTGGAAGAAGGCAAGCATTGCCGGCAGGGGTCCAAACTAGGGGAGCCGCAAGTGGAGGTCAAGGAAGTTATCGACGACGACTCGGAGCTCTTGGGCGCTATCTTGGATGGTATCGGACGTATGGCGGTCGGCACCGTCGCTATGCGCATGGATGATGCAGGGCGGTGGAGGATTCGCCGTGACCCGGGGGAGGAGAGTGATTAGTATCCCATTATGCTACTCTTGGGCTTTGCGGGCAATGCGCAGTCAGAAATGGGTCTGACAGATAGCCCTCTTTGCAGAACATAAATTCTACGACTTCATGATAACACCTCTATCATAACTTCGTGTCGGCTCGTCAGTGTAGGACATGCAAAACCATATCGATACACAGACAACCCCAATGTCTATAATCAAGCCCCAATGCATGCTTCTGGCGTCCCAACGCCCATATCCTGACACAGCCGGCTCATGGGCCTCCCGTGCCAATATTCAATCGTCGTCCTCCAATAGCAGCTCCTGCACTGCCTGCCAAATCTGAAGCAATGCTTCCTCTGTCATTTTCGGCTGATGCTGCCCACCCACGCTTCCCGAGTGCCTGGTGTTGCTACCTTGCCGGTCGTCGTTCCACCAAGCTGCTGCCCCGCCATCACTGCTCCTCGTCCCATCCATCCCTCTCATAGCCCTCCTGATTCTCTCAGCCACAACTTCTCCATCCTCTGTTGCCAACGTTTCGATGCTGTCTCTCCCGCTTCCTGACGTAACATCAGTGTCATTCTGCGCATCCCCTCCTTTGATACCCTTCAGCTTCCGCGTGAAGTGTTCAAGGACCAAGGCTCGTTTTTCTGCAGCTTCGGCACGAGATTTCCACATGGCACACTCTCTTTTGGATACTCGAAGCTGTTCGCTGAGTGTTCCAATGTCCAAGTTATCTCTTGTCTCAAGTTGTCGCCGAAGAGACGCGTTTTCATCATTCCTGACATCCAGCTGCCTCTGAAGACTTCGAATCTGTGCATGAAGCATGGAATTGTTGCCCGGGCTTCCTGCTCGTGCCGGGACGGCATCCTCGCTTAGTTGGCATACTGATAGTGTGGACGAGGGACGGGGAAATACGACATGCTGTGCAATAGGCGGCTGCTGAGCAGGACTTGTCATGGTTCCAAGATGAGGTAAGTTCTTGTCATTCTCCAGAGTATACACCTTCAAAGGAGACTTCCTGTATCTCGAGGAATCTGGTGTTTGCCGAAGTTGTGTCAGAGATGGCCTCTCAGGATGAACGGCACCTCCGTCAGCATCGGTTGTCTCAGGAACAGTCAACGGCCCGGTGCTGTCAGTGACAGACCGCAGTCTATGGCTTGTCTGTCGATTCCTCTCACCCGAGAGCCTATAGCCTGGATCTGAGTCCCTCTCTTTCGCAGCTACGACCAATGCTCTCGTCTTCGTTGTTTCAAGAGACACGGTTTCTTGCCGTGATTGAAACAGACCCAAATCCGTCACACTCGTCCGGGAGGGGCGAGGTGTTGTAGGGAAAGACACACAAGGCGACTCCTGGGACGCATTTTCAAACATGGCCGCCATGGCTCGCACTCCCACTGGTTTTGAGATAGATCCATGCGATGGCGTCGAGCTACCATAGCTCCCGCCAGACGGACGAGCTGGCGTTATGACAGGTCTCAAACTTGATGCTCGAGAGCGTTGCGCAATTTCCTCTGCTATGGATGCTACGCTCTGCGGCCTTGAGAGAGTCGATTGAGGCGACATTGGCGGTTGTTGAGACTTTGACTGACCCTGAGAGATGCCACCATTCATAGCGGCTCGCCGAGGAACAAGCTTATTTTCATTGTCCTTTATACCTCTAATACTGGTCGAGGAAGGGAGATCATCGTCGGTTAGATCGTCCGAAGGCGGTTTCTCCTAGAACGCCTCTGGCGAGATCGCGACGGGGAGTCGAGGCTGAATCTGTGAAGCACTTTTGCTCGCGAACTCCTTTGGAGTGACCTGAATGGAGCCATTGCTTTCGCATCTAGCATTTGATTCTGTGCTCTGACGCGGAGTCCGAGAAGGCGAGTTCGATCTCGGGACATCTCCACCTGGTTTCTTGCCACCTAGCCGGTTACCGTCGAAGCTATTTTCTCTGAAGTTCGCTTTGGCCGAGATTGACTTGTCAAGGTTTTTCTCGATACGATTCGCGCCTCTGCCCATATCACGGCCTTTAGACTTCAGATACGACACAGATTCTGACGTCGTTGTTGTGTTGGAGTCTGTGTTGGGCGGAGTGGGCGTACATGGGCTTACAGCATCCGGCGATGCATGTCTTGTCTTTGAGGTTCTAGCTGTTGGGCTTCCGGAACTTGACGTTCGACTGGAATCACTTCCAACGAATCGACGAAGTGCCGAAGAGACCATCCCGCTTGTCTTTGGCCTACAGTCCGTCGACTGCCTTATGAATTTGTTCCCTGGATTGGGTACATTTCTTTGTACAGGCCAGATGCCCTTCTCGGAAATTGCATATGGCAGTCGATTTGGAGATGCCTTCGCCGAGTCTCTTTCGACTGGGACGTCTTCCGATACACGGGGACTCCCTATTGAACGCTGCCCGCGATGTCCCGCCAATTTCTGGGCTACGTCAAGCGAGCTCCGATTCTTCGAACATTCACCCACGTCACCAGCCAGACCCTCTGCAGTAGCTGCATGGGATTTAATGGCGCTTCGCTTTATGCTGTTCTCAGAGTCATTTGATCGATCTCTTACCAGCTTTTGCGGATGTGGTGAAACAGCTTTTGTGTCCGATCCTACTTTTCTTTCCTTGAGGTCTCGATCATCTGCTAGACTTTCTTCCGCCGTGGGAGAGAGTGGATTGAGGGACTGGCGCAAAGGTATTCTGTTAGCCGATTGCACCTGGAGAGACTTCGGCCGTAGTCTTCCAACATGAAGCGAATCATCTAGATTCCCTGTAGTCTTTGACGATGTCAGACCCAAAGCCTCTGCAAGCGTGTCAGCTACCATAAACCTGAGACTTTGAATGCCTTTCTACTTACTAGGCGCTGGTGTTGGAGTAACGGGCGATTTCGACCTATGCTGGTTGATGGAAGATTGTGGCGAAGAGTGCTTGCTCCTCCAGCCTCTAGGCAATCCGACGGCCAGAGAGTCGGAGTTTGATGAACGAAGAAATCTCCGACGACTCGTGCTTTCCAGATCTTCATTTGGCCCCCGGAAACTCGATAAGCCTTTCATATTGCGCACCACTTCTCTCCAATTTGAGATGAGCATCTCGGTGATGTCGTTTGCCACGCGAATTTTGTCAACAGACATGGAGTCTGTATTGTCTTGGATAGTGCTCTTTCGCTGTCGTTCCCTTTTCAAACGCGGCGGGGTGAGAGGGAAAAGCAGCAAGCCCGAAGAAGGGTTTGCGAGCTTCATTGTATAGGAGTCGAGCAAATCGCCGACCAGGAGGGGACCGAATACGATCCCCAAAGCTGCGTATCCCATCAAATCTGACGTTGGAAGTGGCCGGCCCTGCTCATCTTCACGAGCTGCTGTCTCAGCAGCACGTCCAATAAGGGAAAGAAGACCAAATACAGCGCAAATAAGCTCTCGACGAAAGTGAGACTTGATGGTCCCAATAGCCATGGCAATGAGTCTAGCACGAAGCTTTGATTCTTTTGTTCTGCTGAGTTCTGGCTCCCCACGAAGCTGACTGTGAATCGCGACCAATGCGTCGAAAAGGGTGAGAGAGCCAAGGATGCCACCCGGGAGTACGGATAGCAGTTTTTTGAAAGCCGAAGCTACGTCTTGTGCACCGGCATTGATATGTGATGGCAAAGTAGGGCAACGTATGGTACTTGTGACTTCTTCCCCAGGCTTTTCGTAGCAGTAATAGTCGAATATTGCATTGACAACGCGCAGTGAACCGGGAATGCGGAATACACCGCGTGTAACAGGTCCTGCAGAAGACATCAGAAGAAGCTTTCACATATCCGGTGATGTTGTTCACATACCATATTGAGCTAGGTATTGGGCAGTTGCCCTGAAGCAAGTCGGCACGACAAGCGAGCCAATAGCATAGTCGGCAGGGAGATGAAAAAGGCTCTTCCCACTCAGTCGAACCATGGCCTGTAGATCGAGTATCTTGGGTTCAGGTTTGCGAGAGTGAACCAATTGTAGGGCAATGTCGCTGACGCTTCGCTTGTGACGGACCCCGTGGGGTGCCCCTCGCGAGGTAGGCGGTTGCCCTGATGATGTTGAGCGGAGTACTCGAGACCACCACCTCCGTTTCTCAGTCATAATGGCTGGCAGTGTATGTCGCTAGACGTGTTAGTGATGTCCCATGTCATGAGAATGTTGAAGCTTACTCCTCCCTCGAAGCCATCCACCGCCAATACTCGAATTCCATGCTGTCATCGAACGTTAGTGAAATGCCGAATGCTTCCAATGGGTCGAAGGCTGCTATACTTTCTTGGCCAACCGATTGTAGTCCTGCACAAATATTCGACGGTCCTGAATCTCGTCTGTGTCTGACACCAGGGCCAAGTCCCCGACAGAAGAAGTCCATGTCGCGCTGCTTGGAAGAGCCCTGCTTCGTCGACCATCTCCAGTGACCAAAGCAGGAAGAGTACCTGATGTAGCTAGCGGTTGAGGATCGGCCCTTGATGGCAGCATAGAGGTCGCGATGGGTAGTTGAAGAGGCGCAGTACTGGTTGGCGCAGTACTAACGGTCTGGCTTTCGATGGTGCCAGTCTCGATGTCCCGAGACAGGCCCGATGATAGTGATTGATCATTGTCGTAAGGCTGCATAGCAAAAAAAAGAAATCGATTCCTTGGTCAAAAGTGGGCGAGACCGAACGCTGGAGCCCGCTGGTACTGTCTGGCACTGAAGCGGAGAATATCCAATGTCAGATGTCGAAGATCGTTGACATGGGGACGATGGAGAGGGTCAAGACGTCAACGGTGCTTGGGTCTACCTACCTGCCTACCTACTTATTTAGGCTCGTATGAGAAGTATCGTCCCTGCCCAGCATGGCCGAGCGAGTTGGTGGGAGACCTCATCCGATGTTCGGATTGTGAATGAATACTACTTGCCATAGGTACTTCAGTGTACGAGTATTGCTCCTGCAGGGCTTCCCGATGCCGACCCAGTCTCATCAGGCGTATTCCGAGAAAGCTCCTCGCAAGGCAACTGCTTTGCATCTTGCAACATATCGAGAGGCACGGACGGGGGCACCTCCCAATAGATGGTAATGACTTGGGACATGTTCTCATTTCGTAATGCATTCAGGTAGCCAACTTCTCCGTGAGCCTCCCGATCGTCTATAATGAAAGTAAAATGAAGAAATTCGGGCACCGTCTGGTATTCCTCCCAGTTACGCCTCTGTACGCCTAGCACATGCTCATTACCATGTCTACCAGTTCCCAAGTCATTCCAGCGAGGATCCGTCGCTCTTGGTTCTATGCAATTCCGTTTTTATTCCCAGTTAATGCCCCACGACGTCGTCCTCTTCGCCGTGCAAAAGCACATACTTGAGAATATCGGACAAGGAGATGACACCTGCCAGTCTGTTATCGTCGTCCACTACTATGAGACGGTGAACTCTTGACTTCCGGACTGTGTCAAAGATCGAGTCTAATCTGTCCTCGGGACTGCAAGTGTAAATGCCAGGTGAATCGTCGGGACGCTTGACAAGTGCCTCTCCGATGCTTGACTGCAATTCTTCGTAAACGCCCCCCTTGATGCACGGAATAATGTCGACGGCTTCGAAGACGTTCAGTAGGCGGTTGTACTTGTCGACAATCGGGACGCAGGATATGTTTTGCTTGACCATCAGATCGACCACACTGAGGACAGAATCGTGCATCTGCGCTGTAGCAAGGTCCTTGTATGTACCCAACCCGATCTCCCTGAGGGACTTCTTGAGTAGAACAGTATTGTGTTCGTTATTGACGGCGATGAATTTAAGAATTCTGTACTGTGTAATGACGCTAACAACCATCTCGCGCCCGGTCTCGTCATCAACGTCAACGAGGGGGATTCGGCGCGCACGAGTCTTGAGCATGCGGCGGCAGGCCTCGTAGAGTGGTCTCATGGGGTTGACGGATACGGTCTCGAGAGGAGAGGCCCCGATGGCCTTTTCAATATCTGACAAACGTATTAGTATGCGACCGAAAGCCTGGACGGCGATGGGAGCGCCACTGACCTCGCAAGCTGCTGAGTCGGAACTGCTCCAGCTTATGCATCTCGTCAGGGAACTGGCAGTAGTACTGGATCACATTGATGAAATCTGTCGCTGTCAAAAGGCCGGCAAATCTGGAATTGTGTGAATCCCATAGCGGCGCGGACACGATGGCTGGGACGATGGTCAGAACAAACATCCCGTTATGACAGAGTAGCATGACTCGTACCATTTTGAATGAGGATATTGAGGCTCTTCTTGATCAAGAGGTCGTTGTCGAGGACAATGAGGCGGAACGAGAGCGGTAGGACATCGTAGCTGGTTCGGACCTTGAGGAAATCGCGAATTGCCCTCTACAAGGACGAGCAAAGTTAGCGACGGTTTGTTGCGGTACAAATATGCCCATTCGCGACGGTCTCGAGGCAGAAGCACAACCCCGCATGCGCTCGCATCTAGGGGCGCACGCGGGCTCAAGCACATAAATCGGCGGTGCGCGAGATGATCGAGGGAGGGGTCCAAGGACACATGTAGCTTACCAGACCTTGAATCTGGTCCTTGTCGAGCGGACTGGGCGGCTTCTCTGGCATTTTGCGAGCAACCGAGGGTGGTCTTGGGCGAAGGTATGAGGAGGGCGTGACGAAGGGAAGCTCGTGACCATGTGGTCTCGCGATGGACGCAGCGGTAGCGACTACAGGCGGTTGTAGTGGACCATTACCGCTAGGCTGTTGTTGACTTGGATGCGACGTGGGCATGGAACTAGGACCGGCATTGTCCTTCGAAGCCGAGGAGGAGGAGGGGTCGTCCATTGCGTCGTCGTGGGAGGGCTAATGGCGCGCGTGGCCCCTCTGGACGTGTGGGAGGAACGGCGGGAGACGGGGAAACGGGAGGCAGAGACAATGGGCGGGAAAGAAAAACGGAGGGATGGAATTCGTGGTTTGGAGAATGGATTGGGCTGGACTGAACGCCTTGGTTATTTTTTTCTCGCGCCGTTCTATTCCCCTCCCAACCTGCATCAGGAAGCAATGAAGTAGAGGCAAGGTCGTAAGTCTGAGGTAGTGGCACTGGTGGCACCGGCAGTAGCAAGGTACCTAGGTAGCAAATAACATTTATCTCAACTGTACCGTCCCTCTTGTCTTACCTCAGATGAAAGGTACATACCACTCCTAGCTGCCTTGCCCACTGCAGCCGTATCTCTGTTTCTAACTGGAGTGCATCGGGTATCCGTTAGGTTCCTCTTGTTAAGATAAGGCAGATAAGGATAAGACAGGGAAAAGTCGAAGCTGATGGGTTGGACAGTGAACTTGGGCAAACCCAGGCGATGAATAAGATTGCTGGGGGCGTCCAACGCCTGATTACTGGTGTTTTAACTTGTACCTATTGTAGTCGAAATCTGGCGTTTTTAGCCTAGCGGGTGCAGTTGTCAATCAGTTCAACAAGATGCTTATGGCTTCTATCTAGCGCTGCGCTCATTGTGTACAGCAGCATCAGCTCCGTATGGTGATGGAGGCAAATTACTGTGCGATGACGCATTTCGCTGTTGGTGTTACATCTCGAAGAAGCCTCTATGAAGCCCTCTCGATGAACAAGCCCATGTGCAAGTAGGTAGTGAGATGAGGTATACCTGCCTCAAGAGGCACTTTTCAACACTGCAGGTGCCCATCTCTCAATGGGATATCTGAACGATGATCCCTTCCGCCCATAATTGTCCGATTCCTTGCCTTACTCGAGACAGACTGTCTTGCTTCGGCTCGAGCTTTAGAGACACGTCCAAAATCTTCGAAGGGGCGTGACGAGGCATGCACCTCCGAGACATTTTCTGCAAATTTTCCTTCATTCCATATAGGTTAGGTACGCGACCGACACCGCACATGATACTTATTTGATCAGACGGAAGATATTGGGACAAAATCCCATGTGTTCTTCTATCTGTTTTCGTTTTGCATCGCCAAAGCATCACATATTGAAAGTCGAAGGCGCCATTCAGAAGCTCTCCATCCAGCTCTATGGATACTTGGTATGTATAAGTACAAGGCACAGCATCAAAGCGGCCATTATAATTGTGCGTAACTGGACCCTGGATTTCTGACTCCAAAGCGCTTGGCAAGTTGGCTGCTATCGCCAAGTACCACAGTTGAGTGTGATGTAGGGAACGTCTGCACGTTGAGACCTAGGTATTTGGTTCGCGCTCATCTGGAGCTTGGCTTTAGGCCATCCAGACAGGAAGGCCAAATCACGGAACGGGCGGTCATGAGGTGGTGTATCGTGAAGCAACGTAAGCTACCTTACCTGTGTCACATTTCAATGCGACCCCAGGGATGCGTGCATTCCCAGATAAGAGCAATGTCACGATCGCTCAGGTGCACGTTGTGGTTGGCTTGGTGGGTAGATAGTCAGCCATGTGAAAGTTGGAGATGGTCTTCACCACAGTCCCTCCATGGAGAATCCCATGGAAGGCTGTCAACCACTCACCCAAAGGTAACCTTAGGTACGACGGCGCAGAGAGATACCTATCCGTACGCAGTATCCGTAGAGTCACGTCAAATTCAAGCCACAACGTCGCTAGCGTAGGTCCGGGAATGCTGTCACCTCGGACCGGCCGCCGCACACTGCAGGCGCGCATCTGGATAAAAGGAAAGAAATCTCGATGCAAGATGAGGCGGGTGCACAGCACAAGGTGATATACTCCTCCCTTCATGGAAGACGCTTGTTGAATTTAGTTCCCACATGTGAAGGCATGAAAAGTGGTGGAAGGGGAGCAAGGTGGTCCGTGCTCGTTGTTCCCGATCAAGCTCGAGGCTTTGCCCGGGTTGAAACTTGGAGACTTGGAGTCTTCCCGCGGCAGGTCCGCCCGAGGGAGGAGACATCGAAGAGAAGCCTAGAAGGAGGAGAAGAGGACTGCAGGTGGTCCTAGGAATAAGGTGGGAATCGGCCCTCCAAAGTCTTGCTGGCTGCAGCGGCGGTGCGAAGTTGGAAGAGTGAGGCGGTGGGTGGGGTCCTTCTCTTTTTCCACGTCTCGTCGCAGAAACAAACAACCGTCCACTCACAGCACGAGTAAAAGCCGGACGACGCTGCAGGTACACTCGCTACGTACCTCTTGCACTGGGTCCTTTTGAAATCCTCTAGGCCGAAACAAGTTAGATTGCAGGTTCAAGGTCACCAGTCCCACTGGGCTCCACGGGCATTTGCTTCGTTGTGCTGGAGCTGCTGCTGGAGCTGCTGGCATTGCTGGCGCGGTACGAAGCGTGGAAGCCCACCTCAGAGGTGAGGTATGCAGAATGCACCGCTGTTTTGTGCTGTCCATGCTGTCTGACGCTTTCCGAGCAGGGCAGCTTTGCTTTCCATTTGCTGGTTGCTTGGTGACTGCTACTAGCACTTTGGCACCTCTGCACTCTCTGGTCGTTCCCGTCCCCACTAACCTCAGAAAGGCCCAGTGCTGCTTCTCCGATTGCTGCTGCGGGCTGCTGCAACCTGATCCTGGGTCATTGCTCCGCGAGAGACAACTGGAGCAGCCGTCGCTTTCTTCCCAAAACCTCACTTGACCGACTCTATCGCCCATCAACCGACTAATATTCGGGCCTCTCCCACCCGCCAGAACCGACCGTCGCAATTCGCTGACCATCGACTTGCATCAAAATCTGCTTCTCAGACTGGATCCATCGTCAAATCGACACTGCTATCCAGTGACCAGAGTCACCGCAGGCTCCGCATCCCTCTGGTCGTCGGGCGGCCAAACCGTTCGTGTTGCGAAGAGAAGCCCCATCCAAACAAACAAGCCCCGACTTTCTCGACCACCACCTCGATATCGAGTCTCGGTATCATCAACATCGGCCTTTGTAGCCCACCTCGGCCATGGGAGCCTGCCAGTCATGTTGCGGAGGTATTAGCTTTCCATCGTCATGTCGACTACATCACCGAAGCTAATGGTGATCATGTAGGGAGAGCCCGCGATGGTCTCTACGAACCAGTTCTCGCCGATAGCGAAAGAGAAGCTGTTGCCGACCTTCTCCAGTATCTCGAAAACGTATGTGTTTTTTTTTTCCACCATGGATCATCTGGTCGACCTTCCATACTGACGTTGTTTCAGCGGGGTGAAACCGACTTCTTCTCAGGCGAACCCCTTCGAGCTCTCAGCACCCTCGTCTTCTCTGAAAACATCGACTTGCAACGGAGCGCAAGCCTGACTTTTGCCGAAATCACAGAGCGAGGTACGTCCTCTAGCCTTGTAGTCGATTAAAGGATCACATCGAGGATGCCATTTGCGACGTAGCATTTGGCGTAGATATGCTGACAAGCTGCTCCAGATGTTCGCGAGGTCGATCGTGATACCCTCGAACCGATCCTCTTCCTCTTGCAAAGCCCCGACATTGAGGTTCAGCGCGCCGCCAGTGCGGCGCTAGGAAATTTGGCGGTCAACAGTGAGTGAAGCGTAACAGGCAAGGCTACAGGGTAGATACTGACTCGATTTATCAGCCGAAAACAAGGTTCTGATTGTCCAGCTCGGCGGACTCACGCCACTCATTAGGCAAATGTTGTCGCCGAATGTCGAGGTACAGTGCAACGCAGTTGGATGTATCACCAATTTGGCCACACATGAGGAGAACAAGGCAAAGATTGCGCGCTCTGGCGCCTTGGGCCCTCTGACGAGGCTGGCAAAGTCTCGGGACATGCGGGTGCAGAGGAACGCGACTGGAGCTTTGCTCAATATGACACATTCAGGCAAGGCGTCTTCATCTCGCAGATTTGATCTCTGAACTAACCAGGACGATAGACGAGAACCGCCAGCAACTCGTTAATGCCGGCGCAATTCCGGTTCTTGTCCAGCTTCTCTCCTCATCTGACGTCGACGTCCAGTACTACTGCACGACGGCTCTCAGCAACATTGCAGTCGATGCTAACAACCGACGCAAACTTGCCCAGACTGAGTCAAAGCTCGTCTCGTCGCTGGTCACGCTTATGGATTCATCATCACCCAAGGTCCAGTGCCAGGCAGCGCTCGCTCTTCGCAACCTTGCTTCTGACGAGAAGTACCAACTCGATATTGTGCGATCAAACGGTCTCGCGCCTCTGCTTCGACTCCTGTCTTCATCCTACCTTCCCTTAATTCTTTCCGCCGTCGCCTGCATACGAAACATCTCGATCCACCCCCTCAATGAGTCGCCCATCATTGAAGCCGGTTTTCTGAAGCCCCTTGTCGACTTATTGGGCTCTACCGAGAATGAAGAGATCCAGTGCCACGCCATCTCAACCCTTAGGAACCTTGCTGCCAGCTCTGATCGTAACAAGGCCCTCGTCCTTGACGCCGGTGCAGTTCAAAAGTGCAAGCAGCTCGTCCTCGACGTGCCGGTTACCGTTCAGTCCGAGATGACCGCTGCGATTGCTGTTTTGGCTCTTAGCGATGAGCTCAAGTCTCATCTTCTCAACCTCGGCGTCTTTGAAGTTCTTATTCCTCTCACTCATTCACCTAGCATCGAGGTCCAGGGCAACAGCGCTGCAGCTCTTGGAAATCTCTCTTCGAAAGGTTTGTTGAGCTCCACCATGCCATGTTAAACTTTGATCTAATACCTCAATAGTGGGAGACTACGCGGTCTTCGTTCAGGATTGGAAAGAACCCAACGGCGGTATCCACGGATACTTGACGAGATTCCTCCAGAGCGGCGATGCTACGTTCCAGCACATAGCAATCTGGACTTTGCTTCAGTTGCTCGAGTCTGAGGACAAAAACCTCATTCAGTTAATTGGCCAAGCACAAGATATTGTTGATCAGATCAAGGAGATCGCCAACCGTCAGATCGAGCCAGACAACGAATTCGAAGACGACGATGAAGGCGAAGTTGTCAACTTGGCACAGCGGTGTCTCGAGCTTCTTGGCCAGAGCGGCTCGAAGTCTCACATTGAAGGTTAAACGATGACTTCGGCAGGGCATTTTGCAACATTATTTTATTCTCCAACTTCCCTAACAGGGTACTACAGCAGGACCGAGGGGTCTGGGGGTTCTGGTCGGCGGTGTTTTGGCGTTGGTCATGCAGAATGAGATTCGGTTGTTACGTTGAGTTTATATTTCGGCGTAGAAGCATTTTGAAGGAGCGTTTATTTTGGCGTGCCTGCCCTCACTGGCGAGATCATGCCGCCAGAGGGGCGGGCTAGTTTCTCCTATCAGGAAGACCCGAACCTTTTACTTTGTACCAAGCATCATGGCTCGTTTGTCGGGTCATCCGTGTCTCATATTATTCGGCCTTTTAACTGGCTTGATGAGCTTTATCTGGTGCCATTGGCTCCCCTACCCGTTGTAATTAGGATCATACTTTAGAGGATTGGAAGAACAACTCACAATCTGTGACGAATTCAGCTTACGGAGTCTCCCGCCGCCAACTTTCGTCTCTTTCTTGTATCGTATTTGTGACACGATACAGTTGCTCTTGAATCTCGTGTGCCACTCACTCCCGGCCGTCCTTAGACATCGCGAAGCCCGTTCTCAGCTGTCCCTCCAGGGGAGAGAAGCGATAGCCACCAGGGCTTATTGACGGCTTTCCCCCTGATCAGAGCCAAAGGCACTGGGCCATACAATCGCGAATCTCTCGATGCTTCGAGATTATCACCCACAACCCAACAATGACCCTGAGGAACCTACACAAATATTCTTAGCAAGGGTTTCCGGTTGGGCGATGACCTAGATGTCGTTACCTGTATCATCTTCTGCTTCTCTGCATCAGGGCTGCCTAGCATAACGTAGTCGCCAGGCATACCTATCACGCGTTTGATGCCATCGGATTCTGGGAAGATTGGAATCTTGAAGTGGACTAAATCGCCAACAAGTACGTTGCGACCGTAACGATAACGATGATCGACTAGAATTGATTCGCCTGCCACTTGAAATGTTGGAAGCATGGATGGTCCCGATGCTGGGCCCATGAAGAAGCCATATTCCATCATGACATGACTAAGAGCCAAGGTTTTGCCTACGTTCAGGGCCAGACGGAGAGGGTTTCCTGCCATGTTGCTAGCCTACTGTGCCTGTGGACTTGCTGTGTATCGATTGCCTGTTTGATCTTTGGTGATTCAGAGCGTTTAGACGGGATGTGAAAGTGACAAGACACACGGAGCCGGTGTTCCGCGGGAGCTTGGACCATCGAAAGCTCGTCGCATAGGATTGTGATGCGTGATTGGTGGGAGAGCTACCTTACCTAGGTACTTACCAAAGACCCCATGTGTCTTTCGCCTGTTTCTATTCCTCAACTCTGCATCTTGCAATCACAGGTCCAGCCCCAAACGGCAACCGTACACCAAAAGTGAGACTGGCAGATTCGTGCCCGAACCGACACTCCTGAAACTCCGAGACGGATATCTTACCAAAGACGCGATCCCCGAGCAAACATGAGGATCACACAATGCCTGTACAACAGCAGGACGGCCCTGCATAGGGTCTTCGTCTCGCCCTTTGAAAAGGTGGAATCGATTTCGCGACGAAGCGCTCTCCTGAGCCCAGTCTCTAGAACCCTACCAACAATTCTGTCACCGCCGCTACAAGGTTTCGCACGCCACGCCGCCTTGATACCCCGATTTAAAAAGAAGAAGCCATCGCCATCAGGGCAAGTACCCGGCGGCGACGCTGCTGCTAAGCCAGGCCAGCTTCCCCAGGACAGGGCGATCTCCGATCGTGAAGTCATGGTTGTCGACGAGAACAACAAGCTTACCGGCCCGCATAACACCCGGACGTTCCTAAGGTCGCTCGACCCCGAGACGCAATCCCTCCGAATGGTCTCCAGACCGCCCCCGCGCCCCGCGCCAGGCCAGCCGCCGTTTGCAATCTGCCGCATCGTCGATAAGGTCGCCGAGAAGGAGAAGGAGAGGGCGCTGCAAAAGGCCAAGAAGGATAACGCGCGCAGGCTAGCGAGGGTCAAGGAGCTCGAGCTCAACTGGGCCATCGCGCCGCACGACATGGGCCATAAGATGAAGCAGATGAAGACATTCCTGGAAAAGGGGTACAAGGTTGAGGTCATTTTTGCAAAGAAGAAGAATAGCAGAATCGCTACACTGGAAGAGGCCGGCGCGCTTGTGCAGCAGGTCCGGGATGCTGTGGCGGAGGTTGCGGGCGCCAGGGAGTACAAGGAAGCCGAGGGGCAACCGCGCAAGGTCATGAGGCTGCACCTGGAATCAACAGCGAAGCCCGCAGCTAAGGCTGCCCCTGCACCAGAAGTCCCGGTTGCAGAGGCTGCGCCGGAAACATCGACATGATGTAGTGGCGGGCTGCCTGAGAATCGGGGTGGTTGAGCTGTGCTTGATTACTCCATGAGAAAGCACCTACGATTTGGACAGAGTCCGTGTTGGCCTGTACACTAGAACTTCCCTGGAAGGCTTGTATCATAGAAAAAACAATAGAAAGGGTCGTATCGTCCGAATAGAGCGGCCGTGACATTTGTGTCGCGTTCCTCGTCAGCGAATTACTTGTCCTCTACACTTTGAGATTACATTAAATCGCTGCTCTCTACGACAGAGTAATAACCTGAATCGAATAGCCCGCAGCGTACCATATGATTACGAAACTCTTGCGAACATATTTTTGGAATCAAGTTACAAGCAACATGTGACTAGAATGACTAGCTAATGGATTGGTACTCCGTAGAGCCTTGCGATACTTGTTTAGCACTCTCCCAAGAGGAATAGGAAGAAAGCTAGTTGTTAATCTTTCACAGTGCGACCATGTAGTACAACTAGCCTCCTTTAGCCCGGCATCATTATGTCTCAGTCTACCTTGGGGCAGTTGAAAAGTCACTGTATGTGTTTCTCATGGGATTAAAACATATCTGAAAGAGATGGACAAGCTTTGTTGATTAAGGTGGCTGCAGCAATCATTTGCACCGTTGAGCGGTGATTGGCACCACAACTAAGAACGTCACTCCCCGCACCATGCAGGTAAGCTTTAGCGAGCTTTTAGCGCGGGGCACCCGTCGCATCCCGCCTTGCAAACCCCTGTGACTCAACCCTCCAAAACTTCTCAGCCTTTTTGACTCGATCAAAGGAAACTCCGACCGCCAACCCGAAGGAGTCTCGACAAACGCTCCTAAATCCAACACAAACGATCCGATTCTACACGACTGTCGGTCGAAGCTGAACCAAGCCCACCAGAGAAATTTCGCGACGCAAAACAAGGGAAGAGGGACGGAGCAATGGCAACAGAGACACCAAACACTGAGCCGCCTAAGGCTGTCGAAGACAAAAAGACTCAGCAACCTGCCAAGAAAGATGGCGGAGCGCAAAAGAAGGATGCACCAGCTGCCCCAGCAGCAGAGGGGGGCGAGAAGAAGCTGTCAGGTGCCGAGCTGAAGGCAAAGGCAAAGGCTGAGAAGGCGGCGAGAAGAGCAAAGGCCAAGGAGGCGCAACCAGCACCACCGCCTGGCCAGGGAGGAGCTCAGCAGACCGGAGGAGGAGAGGCAAAAGGAGGAAAGTCAAAACCCCGACAAGATGGTCCTCAGGGCGCCGGTGGAGCTCGAGGCGGCCCTGCGATCAAGGCCGTTCCGGTCGCGATCCCCAAGGACACCAGGCCCAAGGTCCCCGAGTGCTTCAGTCATCTATCTATGGCCAAGAGGATACACATGACGGAGGTTGATAAGGACGTCCATCCGGCAGTTTTGGCTCTGGGCCAGCAGATGAGCGCGTTTGCGATTACCGACAGTACCACAAGACTAGAGGCGACTCTGTTGGCATTCAAGAAGGTAACCCAACTACGGCCTCTTGTCTGAACCCAATATCAAGCGTGAGTCTTCTAACATTGAATTAGGTGATTGATTCTTACACAACACCCCCGGGCAACACATTCTCGCGCCACTTTACATCACACATCCTGAACCCTCAGATTGAGTACCTCTCGGCATGCAGACCCATGTGCTTCTCCATGGGCAATGCCGTCCGCTGGCTCAAGCTCCAGGTCAGCAAGATCGACATTGACCTGCCCGACTTTGAGGCCAAGAAGCTCCTCCGCGAGTCCGTCGACAACTTCATCCGCGAGCGCATCACCCTCGCCGACTTCGTCATTGTCAAGACCGCCGCCGACAACATCGCCGACGGCGAAGTCGTTCTGACCTACGCCCACCACCCTCTCGTCGAGCGCGCCCTCCGCCAGGCCCACGCAGACGGCAAGAGGTTCTCCGTCACCGTCGTCGATGACCCATTTGAGAGCACCGGCCGCGACCTCGCGAAGCGGCTGCGCGCCCTGCAGGGCGTCGAGGTGGCCTATAGCCCCGACCTGAGCGCCATGCGGGATCATCTCCGTGATACGTCGCGCGTGTTGGTCGGCGCGGAGGCCATGTTCAGCAACGGCGCAATGTACGCCAGGGCCGGCACGAGCGATATTGCCATTGCGGCGGCTGATCAGGGTATTCGGGTCATGGCTCTTAGCGAGACCATAAACTTTACCGAGAGAGTCGCTATGGACTCGCTCACGTATAACGAGATCGACCCCGAGCAGAACACCGAGGAGGCTTTCAGACTGCTCTTTGACACCACCCGTGACCGCCACATCTCAGTCGTCGTCACGGAACTGGGCATCACGTCGCCTGTGTCTGTGCCTGCCATTCTCCGAAAGCTAGAGGAGTTGTAGAGCACGGGCGCAGAAACGGGGCAGGTGGTGATTGTAGCAGCCATGGGGAAAGTCTTGAGGGGGCCGAGGGGTCCTGCTGCGGTGACCCCTTTAGATAGATACCAGTCATGAAAGGTCGATTGAGGTTGCACCATAGATCAATTGAGCATGAGGAGCAGTTCTGAAGCACGTCCTAGGCCCAACTTGATGATGGGGATGCCTCAGGGATGACACTGTAGATATCGATGACTTGAACGGCGTCAATTAAGCCTCCCCTTCTTTCTACGTAACATATACAAAGGGACTCTAAAGGGATTTCCTAATTGGCGTCCTAATCAGTTCCCGCGCAATCCCAGTTCCACCTCTAGAACGAGAATGATTCTTCGAGGTCCCCAATCGACACCCGAATTGACCGGTCTCCATCTGCCTCTTCCTCACTCAGATGGGTGTCACAAAGCTTGTCTCCACCAGAAAGCCTTTAGGTCTGATCTCTCCCCCCTCCCTCTGCCTCTCTCTTTTGTCGATGATTTTCGTCCACTCTTCAAATTTCGTAGTCTTCTATGACTGCTCCGCCTCCTTGCGCGCCGCCGCCCTCGCGCGCTTCTCGAGCAGGATGGACTTGCGCTCGCTGAGGATGGACGACTGCCTCTCGTCGACGCCCTGTAGCCAGTAGCCAAAGCTGCCACCGCCGAGCATGTAGACCGGGTAGACCCAGAGGGACTCCTTGTTGAAGAAGGGGCGCATTTCAATGCCCATTTGCCAGAAGCGGACGGCGAAGCCTGTTTGGTTGAACGTCGAATGTTAGTGGACTACATCTTGAAGTTTCCCGTGTTTGCAGTGGCGAAAAAGGAGTTTGTGACCATTCCTCTCGTGAATCCGAACCAATTGGCCTCCATGGCAACCGGGAGGTCCATCCCATAGATTATCGTCGCCTGATGAAGGGGGTAGGGAGGTACCACGCACCGAAGCCACTCCAGAAGAGGACCCTGCCAACCATTGTCGCGGTAGATATGTGTGTTTCGTCTCGAGGGGGAGTATTGGTAAGTCGATTGACGAAGGTGGGCCGCTTTGTCCGCCGGGACGTAGAATTGGGGTGAGTAGTTCGATTGGATTGGGCCGTGACAATTCGAGATACGATGTGAAGCTTCCCCCGGTGGTGACGGGCTGCAAGGTGTGTGGGAGGTCCGCGTACCCGCCGAGCGCACGGCCGAATGAACCAATCGCTGCGGTTTGCGGAATAATTGCAAATCCAGTTTTTCCGATTCGATCGCTGCCCTGCGCGGCTGCGCGGGATTTGGGGGCGTGCTGGGGTTTTAGGTGCTACAGCGCTGTAGGGCCCTGGAAGTTGGGCTGTCGGGGCGCCGAAGCACTGAAACACCGCTGTGAGATCTGGACTCTGAGGAGCTCAGCAGCATGACTAGCAACAAGTATGTAGAAATACCCGAAATTTTCAACAACATCCGATATGGTGTAGTGGCCAACATGATGCCCTCTCATCTCTGTGAGAGGTTAGGCATAGCCCCGAGTTCGATTCTCGGTTTCGGAAACTTTTGCTCTCCTCACGCATCTGTTCAAGCAAGCGATTCGTTTTTTTGATTATCCTTAGCTTAAGGCAGCAGTGTTTCTTCCCTAGTCATTGATTCTGTCATTTGTACTGCTCACGATGTTGTTTAGGACACCCGGGTTCGTCGCAGCTTTCAGCAAGTAGTTCGGCTATTTACCACACAAGATGATAATTGACAACCAAAGGCACGGGTATCTTTATTATGCAGGTCGTACACGGGAGCTCTCACGATAGACTTCCGCCAACTGAGTCCAAGTAGCTCCAAGTCTATCTATCTTACACGGTCGAAAGTTTACAAGGCACCGCCCACGGCCTGGGCGATCCACATGGCTATCCTCACCTGGATGCCAACCCGCCTCTCATTTTTGGAAAAGTCCTCACGGGTTACTCGCTCTGCGTGATCTTGAAGCCACGTCTGCTCCTCGCCGAGGCGCTTCTTGAGGTCTTCGTCCTTTGTGAGGATCATGGCACCAGCCTCAAGATCGTGGGTATAGCTGCGTTTGGTATAGTTGGAACTTCCCACAATACTGATTGATGGGTTTCGTTCTCCCGGCAGCGTGATCCAGAGGCCCTTGGCATGGTATGTCCAGCCGCCGGGCTCGCCGATTGTTCCTTTGCGCCACTCCTTTAGAGCAATTGAGTCGTCAAGCTTGCGGTCGTGGACGGCGCGGACGAAGCGGCGCGCGAGGAGGGTGTAGGCGCCTGGCAAGAGTCCAGACACGCCTGGGGATTGATAGAAACCATTTGCCTGCTGGGAGGCGGTAATTACGACATTGTTTTGTGATGCCGTCGACAGCAGGAGCTTGGTCAGTGACGGCGCAGGGTTGAAGTAACCTGCGGTAAAGGTCCATGACGAGCCGGCGTACTCGGGCTTGCCAAGTGTTGATAGTACATGAGTGACGGCAGGAAGCTCTGTAGAGGTGTTTGGGCTCATGAGCTGTGTGAGTTGGGAGAGCATGTAGACCTTGGTGTCTTTGCCCACATCCGCAGAGGCTGCTTGCGTGGGCGAAATCAGAGCATTGAGGGCAGGAGTCGTGGTGCCAATGAACTGCTTCGGCTCTTTAAGGGGAGATGGCGCGGGGTTAGACTTGGGCCAGGTCAGGGCGAAGCCAGCAGGTTCTTGCGAAGGCTGAACGAGAAAACTGAAAGATGATACGCCCTGGTGGATGTTCCAGAAGTAGTCGGTGACCTCCTTGGAGGAAAAGAGGTGGTAACGATCTTGTCGGTTCGTGAAGTAGTCTGATGAGAGGTTCGCCCTACATAACTGTTAGTCTCAGTCCTAACTCGGAATTCCTTGCAGCAGCTCCATACCCAGAGAGAATAATTTCGTCATCAACGCCATATAGCTTCATGTGTTGTAGGCCCCAGCCCTCGTTGATGCGCTTCGGTATGTACTTCTTCCTCAACCCCGTCAGGTTTGGTGTGTGGTACATGCGGATTTCCACTCTGTCTGGGCCAAACTCCGACACGAGTGGTGCTAGAAGGGATGCGCATGACGGATTCGGCTCCTCTCGCGTGCCTCGTAGGGCGTCCGTCAGAATGCTCAGCTTCAGCTCAGGGTTGTTTCGCAGAGCTTCGTGTAGGGTCGCAATCTGGACATGGCCACCGTCAGAACCTGGCCCAACTCATGCGCATGCAATGTAAACTGACCAACTCTTTCTCTGTCTTTCCGATGTATAACGTTGACAGGAAGATCCTCTTCTTTGCATTCCGTATCCGCTCCTAAGGTACACCCCGTATTAGTCCCCAAACCCCTAGCCAGTGCTGCGCGTGTTCGTAATGCACACCTTCAATGTCTCGTAGAAATCGGCCGGCGTTCTGATAATCTGAATCTGGGAGCCATTGATGCTGAAAGAAGGTGCGATCCTATCGAGTTCGTTCGCGAACGGCGCAAGCATGCCAGCTGCGCTACCGGAGCTTGAAGCCGTTGGGGTACCAGCGGCGGGCGTCGCGAATTGTCGGCATTGCGGTTGCGCGCGTGTAATGTTCGTTCGGGCAAATGGGAGCTTGAGCTTGGTAGAGCACCGCGACACGCCACGTACAATCATGTCGTCTTCGTCTTTTGGTATTTCACCGCCACGTCTGGATGTTTAGTAGTTACTCTTCTCGAAAAAGTTCATCCAAAGACGGAGAGCTCTCGAGGTTCCAAAGTTCTGGGGACCAGGGTGCGTGTATGAAGCTCTGTCATTGGCGGCGGGGGTTGCCGTGAGCGCCAGGGAGTCCAAAGACCAATTGCCTTCGAGTTTATGTAATCCAGAGCTCCACTCTGGCACCAGCGTCGCTCAACCTTCCCAAACGTCAGGTCTTCAATCACATCGTCGACAGCAACCAATAGCTTCTTGAGGTCAATTGACCAGCCGCCACCATGTCGACCCCCGGAAGAACAATCGCCAACCTGCGCAAGGTTGGAATCAAGGCATGTATCCTCCTGGTTCAAACGTTGTCGCTGCCATCGCTAACTTTCGCTTCTAGAACTATTTCCGCCAATTGCTGGTACATGGCCTCCCGAACCCCCCGATCGCAATTGCCCCTCTAACGCTCGAGAATAGTACATCGGCGACACCAAGCATGGTCGTCTTGTAGGCGAGGATAAGGCCGGCAACAAGTACTTCGAGAACAATGACGAACTTCCCCGTATGGAACCCCCAAGCGGACAGCGCCAAATGGACGATGAAGGACCGTGGGGCTAACATGCAACAAATAGTGCGTACGCGCTGGGTGGACTTCAAGGTGCACGACTACGACTCGGCGCAGGTTGAGCCTGGCTGGCACGCTTGGTTGGGATACATGGTCGACAAGCCGCCCACCGAGGACGCCCTTCTCCAGACCAAGACTCGCAAGTGGGAAGTGCCACACGTGCTTCCCAACTTCACGGCTACCCCGGGAGCCTACAAGCCATACAACACGTGAGTGGAAGTGCCGTCACTTGAAGTTGAGGTTGAATTGCTGACAATCGGTGCAGAGTCAAGCCGAAGATTCGTGCGTGGGAGCCCAAGGCAGTTGAGAGACAATGAGTTGCGGAAGAACGGGGTTGATGTATATAAGCCAAAGTCGCTTAACGCAATTTCAGGGGTTTTCTTTGTGTTAAAAACGTTGTCGATGTTTTACGACGCGGATTCGCATTGAGTGACGGTTGACCAAGCATCGGCATTGGCATTGGCATGAAGGGAGATTTTACAATATCTCAAGGAGCGGCCTCAAGTGGCTTGCATACCGCTTCTCTCACTATGGTAAATTCTTTAGGAGAATGAACAGCCAGGCTTCCAGCAGATTCAAGGTGACAGGAACGATATTCCAGGCATTGCCATCCTATGAGATGGACTAGCTGGGGCGCGTGACGCGTCCGATGTTGGAGTGCTGGGTGATAGCAGCGTTCATATCTCGATTGTTTGGCTGCTATTGACTTTCGAGAGATACACAGAGGGGAGGCCGACGAGGGAGAAATTTGTCTTGTTTCAAGTGGCTTGTTTAGTGATTTCGATACTACTAAGGCCTTTCCATTTCGCTGGCTTGGTAGATGATAACCACTATGGCTCCCGATCATCCATCGGGCCCTTCGTAGGTGACCAATATCCGTTGTCTCGGACTACTACTTCTTGCCAGCAACCTCAGCGAACCCCTTCTCCTCAAGTTCCAGCGAGCCCAAATCCGGCACAAGCGGCGTTTCCGTACCCTCCGCTGCTACCGCCGCTCCGTTTTCCTTGGCTGCGACGCCCTCACCGTCCGCAGCGTAGTCAACCCACGCCGGCGGGTTGATTCTGCTAGGATTCGCCTCGCCCTTGAAGTGGTAGCCCCTCGCCCTCGGTCTCGTCCCCGTACCCTGCGGCAGTTCCGCTTCGTACGCCGCGACGAAGCGCTGCGACTGCTCCTCAAACTCCGCGGCGCCCTTTGCGAGGGTCGCCCGGATTCCGGCGAAGAAGTCGGCCATCACCTGGTGATTGTGAATCTGCAGCAGCGTCCAGCCGAGCATCTCCTTGGCGTTCAAGAGATGGTGGAGGAAGGCCCTGTGGTGTGTCGTGCAGGCGTAGCACTTGCAGCCCGGGGAGAGGGGTTCCATGGCCACCTCGTTTTCGGGAGCCCACATATCGTCGCCCAGAGGCCTGATAGCATTGCCTTGGCTTTCGGGGGGAGGGAAAGTGAAGGACAGAGCTACACCTGCGTCGGAGATGGCGTTGATGAATGGTATCGTGCAAATATCGACTCCTAGGGAAATCTGTCGGAGAATAGCTTGTGGAGTCTCGGGAATGTGCAATGACAGACGAGGAAGAGAACCCAAGGATTTGTGGTGGTCCTCGATATCGGGCAAAATATCAACATCGTAGATAGCCAGCCCTGAAAGCGAGTCGACCACCTCGTCCGCGAGATGACGAAGGTACTCCCACTGCACAGTGTACGGCACCGCAAGAACAGGCGCAAACACCGAGACCCCAGACGCCTTGAAGAGTTCACGCCTCTTGGCCGTCAGAAACACATCGGTCCATTCCTCGGTTCGCTCGGCCATGCGAACAAGCTTCTTTGAGGCCGGCATCGTGCTCGTGTGGAACAGATCAGCGGGGCCAATGGCGATGTCAGGCTTCAGCGTCTCGACAGCCGCACAGTACTCGTCGGTGGAGAGGTTCCTGAAGCCGGTCGAGGTGAAGATGGCCACGAACTTTGCGCCATTGCCCACGGGAGTCTTAACCGCTGGGTTTCTCCTGGCAGCGAGAACCGTAGCTATGCTTTCGGGCAGGCAAGAAAAGGTGTGGAGTGGCTTCTTTTCTGGCGAGGGTATTGAAAGCGCGGAAGGGTTCTTCTTCTCAATGACTTTGGTCGATAGTTAGCTTCGCGGCACGATAAATAGGTTAGACCAGAACGTTTAGATTAAACTACTTACAGTCCTCGAGCGCCATGTACGCTCCACTGAAGGGCGCATGTTTCTTCAAATTATCCGGGGTGACATGAGGAAGTACACCCCTCGAAGCGACGGCATAGTAATTTGGTGTCTCGATGGCTCTCCGCTTAGGAACGCTCAGTTTCCCGAGACGAGCTGCAGTTGTGCCATCCAAGGACTTTTTTAAAATTTCGAAAATCATGCCTTCTGCCCCGTCGAGTTTTTCCGCATCACTCATCTTGACACATCGGCGACCCTTCCAGCTGTGTGTGAGTCAACCCTGGTGCCGCAGAGTTCCGTTGTAGTCGGTTGTCAGGCTCACAAAGAAATCCTTGCAATTTGTGAGGTATATTAACAAAAAGAAAGCTTCTCAAATAGCACTCGTTGGTTGTCACTCGCTCACTTTCACCATATCACCATGTCGAGGGTTAGCGGTCGTTCTAGCGTAAATGGTGTGAAAAGGAAAAGAGCAGCCACAGCATTGTAAAAGCCACACTTTTCCGTCTGATTGTGGCTTGATCCCTGGCTTGCCCTCCTTCCCCCTCGGAATCTGTGGGACGGTGGATCGGGCGGGAAGCAGGTGCCCCGGCCCCCGGGCCAAGTGATTGCGGCGGGGTACCGATGGGGGAGACGCTGCAGGGGTTTCTGGGCAGCGCAAATGCATTTCGATTTGAGCCAATCGTCAAATCCCATGTTTTGATCCGATCACCCCATGGCCAAAGCATCTTGGAGTGTACCCGTCTGAATGTATGGGGACCTAACGGAGAGTAGCGTTGTTGCTGCTTTTGCACACTGCCTTCAACATTTCACTCCCATTCGGTACCGCTGCGCCGGTCGGTACGGCTATCGGGGTGCTTCGGAGGCTTGGGGAATGACGTACATTTGCCGTAGCTGGTGCAATATCGAACGATTTTCAGATGAAAAGGTTGGAAGGAAGTGACAAGTTAATGATCGGCAGGCTGATGGATGGAATGTTGAGGAGAATCTACCATGCTGCGTCCATTAGCTTGAGGAATTGTGCCTGGACAGCTAGAGGTCCATTCAATTCCATGTGGCCAACAAGAGTAACGCATTCATGAGGTGCGCATCAGAACGTTTTGAACTTCGATTTCATGTATTATTAAGATCTTGCAATCACAATTATATACCATACAATAGCAAGCCTATCCCCTCTATCCTTCCATCTATCTACCAAATGATGATCCGAGATGATCAAATAGGCTCATCTCTAGGCTCAATGAGCACCTCGTTGACGGCAACATGTTCTGGCTGACACAGAGCGTACACAATCGAAGAAGCCACATCCTCAGCGTCCAGGACCTTGGCACCAGTAGGCTCGCCGTACTTCTTGATTGCCTCGGCGTCTGTAGAGATACCCAGCAGCTCTGTAGCCGTGTTGCCAGGTTGAATAGATGTGACGCGGAGACCCGTACCGGCCGTCTCGAGACGCAAGCTCTGCAGAGTTGCTTCCACAAAGAACTTGCTAGCAGAGTAAACACCCAGGCCAGGGAAGACCTTGCGGCCAGCGTCGGATGAGATGGCTACGATGTGACCCTTTCCTCGACCCAGCATGCCAGGGACCGTAGACGACAAGCAGTGCAAGAGACCCTTGCAATTGACATCGACAGTGCCCTCCCACTCGTCAGTCTGGTTGTTCGCCATCATAGTGAAGTACATGACACCGGCGCAGCTGACGAGAATGTCGACCGGTCCAAGCTTGTCGGCTGCCGCCTGCATGAGCGACTCAACATCTTCTTTCTTCGTCACATCCGTCTTGTGAATGAGGACCTTGCCGCCAGTGCCAGCAAGCTTGGCCTTGACACCCTCCAGGGCTTCCGTGCGTCTTGCCGCGAGAGCGACATGGGCGCCCTCCTTAGCAAGCCCAGCGGCAACAGCTGCACCGATGCCGGAAGAGGCACCAGTGATGACGGCGACCTTACCAGCCAGACGACCCTTGTTGACGCGAGATGTAGCTCCGTTGGCGTTTGCTCGGCGCGGAGGTCGAGAAAGCCAGCCTCTCGCGCAGAAGTGTCGAGTGTAGGTCTCGAGCAGATCAGTATCGATCTTGGGGCGAGGCAGGTTGTACTTGAGCAAAGCGGAAGCCGTGGCCTCGTCCTTGAGGACGGTCACAGCCTTGAGAGTCTCTGCGGTAGGCATACCACCGCGAAGGATGTCAACGGTGAAAGGGACGTCGCCCGCGGTACCGAAACCTCTCTTCTTGGTCCACAACTCCACCCAATCGTCCCAGGGCACGCGCTCGGTCGGGAAGCCGAGCTCATTCAGGCTGTCGAAGATGTAGTTCGCAGAGACTGGGTTGGGGTCACCAAGGTGGTAGACCAACTGCTCGGAGTCGGTGTGGTTGGCGAGAGTCGTGATAGCTGCGCTGACGAAATCGACAGGCGTCATCTCGGCGAACCATTGGTCAACATACGGCGCCGTCTTGAGGTGTAACGACTCGACAATCAGGGCGTTCAGAAGATCCCATGCGTTACATGAGCCTGTTTTGCTATGGCCACTGATTGTACCAGGGCGGTAGACCTTACACGGCATACCTCGACGAGCGGCCTCATAGACCAGCTTCTCAGCCACCCACTTGGTCTGTCCATATCCGTCGATCAGCTTGTCGGGAACATCATCAATGTCAACCATGGCGTCTTCAGAGTGGCCTGCAACAGATGGTGTCAAAACACCGTTTGTGGAAACGTGGTGAAGGGTGGCACCGCTCTTTGACGCCAGGCGTAGGATTTCTCTTGTGCCTCCGACATTGGGGCTTCTCAGTGCAGCATAGGGATAAACCAGGTTGACAGTCGCAGCAGCATGAATGATGACCTCAACACGGGAAACGATGTCATCATAAACCTCTGAGGCAAGACCGAGATGCTCTCGCGACAAGTTTCCGGGCAGAACCTCCATTCTGTCGAGTAAGGAGTCTTCCCAGATGCCAAGATCAATCAGGTTCTTTCGGATTCTAGCCATTCCAGCAGCACGCATCTCGTCGGTAGGATCCGTGAAGCGGACGAGGCAGATAATGTGTGCCGAGGTGGTCTCCACAAGATACTTGAGAAGGAAGGCACCGAGGTATCCAGTTGCACCGGTCAAGAGCACGGTATCAGCATCATTCAGACGCCGCATAGGAGTGCCGTTGGACTGAATGTCGTCCGGCAAAATGGAATCAGCACGAAGAACCGCTGGAAGGTCCGCCTGAACAGCCGCCGTGTGACCGTCACGAGCATCGCAAATTGCTTGCAGGTGTCCTTGCAGTGTTGGCGTACCCGCAAGAGGTGCCAGCGGAACTGGGAATCCAAACTCCTTGGCGAATCTGTTTGCAAGGTCTGCGAGAACAAGGGAATGGCCACCAATATCGAAGAAGTCGTGCTCCTCGGTGATGGCACTATCAGGCATGTTGAGGGCAGCCGCCCACAGCTTCTTGACGGTCTCGATCTTGACCTTGGTGTTTTGCTCCTTTTCGCCATTGACTGCAAGCTTCGGGCTTGGCGGCGGCGGCAGGGCCTTCAGATCAGTCTTGCCGGAGACGCCGTGAGTAGGGAGTTGTTCAAGCTCGACCCAGTAAGTTGGAAGCATGTACAGAGCAAGATGCTCTCCAAGGACACGTCTGGCTGCAGGGCTGTATCCAGACTCGTCAATGACCACATCTCCTCGGCCCCGCTTGTCATCGTTGTCGCGAACAATATAGGCAACAAGTTGTCTTTCAAGGCCTTCTCCGTGAGAGGAGACAGCGCAGTCACTCACAGCCAAGTGCTTCACAATGGCGTTTTCGACAGCACCTGGCTGAACGGTGTAGCCACGGGTCTTGATCATACCGCCTGCTCGACCAGTGATCTCCAGAAGACCGGAGGGAAGGACTCTAGCGAGATCTCCAGTACGGTACATGCGTGCACCTTCCTTGTTGACAAAGGGATCCGGGTGGAATGCCTTGGCTGTTGTCTCTGGCAGGTTGAGGTAACCCCGCGCCAGGAGGTCGCCGCCCACATAGAGCTCTCCGCTGATGTTGTTGCCAACCCTGTTACCATCTTCGTCCATGATGTAAATGTTTTCTGGGTTCATCGGCGGGCCAACCGGGCAGACGCGGGCTTCAAAGTCAATAAATGTGCTGATATCACCGGCTGCGACCTCGTGGGTCTCGCAGGCGCTGTAGACATTGAGAAACCTGGTTTCGGGCAGGGCCTTCATTCCCCTGCGGCAGAGGTCAGTTGTGACCACCTCGCCGTTCAACCAGAGAGACCGCAGCTTGGGCAGGCGCTTGCTCAAGTCGGGGTGACGAGACAAGACGGTTGCCAGGAGGGTAGGTGTCATGAGCGTGTCTGTGATTTGCCGAGACTCGAGCAAGTTGACAAGAGCTGATGGGTCGTAACTTGCACTGTCCGGAACAGCAAAGACAGTCGCTCCCCGCAACAAGGGGCGAAGCATCTCCCACACGAAAAACACATTGCAAGCTACACGATCTCCTGGTTGCAAATCGCTGAGACCAAATCTGAGGTCATATGAGAGCACTGCTGCCCTGTGGGGATTGCAGATGCCCTTCGGTTGGCCAGTGGTGCCAGAAGAGTATGAGACGAACATAAGGCGTTCGAGATCATCGCTGGCGGGCAATGGCAAAAGTTCGCCATTGGCATGTCCATTGACTGTCGTTTTACTGGGTTCATCAATGACAATGATCGGCACTTCCGCCTTGATGTGGTTGACGTGTGCGCTTTGAGTGATAACCACCGAGGGCTTTGCGTCCTGGATGACGTCGCGCAGGAGCCCAGAGGGGTATGCGAGCTCAAGTACCAGGAAAGCACCGCCTGCGCGAAGAGCTGCCAATGAAGCGATCACGTAGTCGGCGCTTCGGCTCATGAGCACACCAACGAGGCTATCTCTGCCGACTCCATAATCTCGACGCAATTGGTCGGCGAGAGTCTGCGTCTCTTGGTCCAATTCCGCATAGGTAAAGGTTCGTGATTCATCTTCAAGGGCCACAGCGTCTGGGGTAGCCTTAGCCTGCTGCTCAAAGAGCGCGGCGATATCCTTGGTGATGTCGAGAATAGGCATGTTTATCAGTTGTTTGATAAGGGGTATATGGAAGACAGGTTGACTGGTTGAAACAAAAAGGAATCACCTCTGGAGAAGCCGATGAGAGAATAAACGGGAAGAAAGGTCACAGACAGTGAAGTCTAGATCAGAGGTTGGCTGTTGTAGAGGAACAGATTAAGCTCTGGCACCTTAATAAATGTGGCAGAACAACTGTAGTGTTGAGTCTGGGAAGGAAGGAGGTCACGAGACAAGTTGGTTGCGAGAAGCTCTTGCAACCACTCAAGTACTTAGTTGAGGCGAAGGAGTGACGCGGAAAAAGCAAGACCAACAGGAGCGAAGGCGAAGGTGTGTACCTTGCTTGGCTACAAGTCCCTTACCGGCTAGAGGTTCCTCAACAAGAACGAGTCCCCCGCCGACGAAGCGTACACGTGTAGGGAAGAGACGGTAGCACATGCACACCGACAGCCGTCGCGAAGCGATGAAATGTCGGTACGGGATAGCCCAGTCCAGTCCATGGCATCCACTATCAGACACCATGGCCAATGAGGTGCATGGTTGCCAAGTTGACCAGCAGTTTAAATGGGTC